GTAGAATTTTCAGTGTTTTTTCTTTTTCTCAACGATATTCCAGTGACATTCTCATTCTTACATCGTCGTGGATTGTTTCGTTACGTTTTCACGGTTCACAGTGTTAATGAGTTTTGTACAATCATCGTCACGTACGGTGAGTTGTTTTAGACAAGAAAATTAGAACCTCTGAGAGTATCAAGATATAAGCTTCAATATTGTAATAGTTTCAATATCGCAAGAGAATAATTGAAAAAAATAAAATTGAATGACAGCTATACTTAATGGTTTCTTATATTTCCAGAAGATTTGAAAAATAACGACTAAATTCATGGAACAAAATATAACTGTAATTGTGGGGGAGGAGAGGAATATTAATTCACAGCGTATCTGTTGTAAAAAGACCTTATGTATAGGCGATGATAAAAAATGCAGAAGAAAAAAAACAACGTGGGGCTATTTATTGAGCTGGGACTGTTACATCACCATTGCAGTTGATTGTTAAACATGTAAATCAGTTTTTCTCTTTTTTTCTGTCTCTCGTTTCTAGAATATTTCCTACTGCGATACGAATTCGATGAGTCAATTCAGTGTCAAACTGTTGAAGTAAATAATTTTCTACCAATATTTGCAATAGAAACGATATCTGGTTTTCTCATCTCATAGTAACATTGACAAAATGAGTAAAGCTATCGGCTTTGAATTATCATTGTTGCTTGTTGCATTATTTTCGACGATTTTCTGTGTTTGTTTTGTTTTAATCCTCAACTGGAAATTGACACTTGCCATAATGTGCATAGTGCCGTTGGCTATTGTCGGCTCATATGCCTTTGCAAAGGTAGATACAATTGCTGTTGATTGATTTAGTTTATATTACTTCTAACAGGTCACCGCGAAAGAATCAAAAAACGAATTGAATGTGTACTCAAAAGCTGGAGAGGTTGTTCAGGAAGTGTTTAGTTCTCTTCGTACGGTGCTGTCGCTCAATGGTGGGAAATTTGAAGAGAAACGGTAAGATATATATCTATTCTTAAATGAAATTTATAAGCCGTGAGCCACAATAATGTTCGAATCTTATTGTGAATCTAGATACGAAAGCGAATTGAGAGAAATTCGTAGGAGTAGTGTGCGACAAGGTGCTGCATTTGGTCTTCTGAATGGGTGGATTTATTTGATAGGATACATGATTTATTCAATTGGTTTTACCTTCGGCTTATCTCTCATGCATCATGAAGGATCTGACAGACTCGGTTTCAGTGATCTTCTTGTGGTAAGTTATTCAGTTCACAAATAAGATGTTGAAAACCGATGGACTCTTGACGTATGAGTAGATAGTGATTGCTTTGGTACGATCGATCACTAATGTTGCATTTCTTGGTCCTTTCGTTCAACTGTTGGAAGAGGCTCGAGGTGCTTTGGCACCTGTTTTCCGCTTGATCGATGAGGTATAGTTATGCCTAATATACAATATTGTCTCTTCACTATTGTATTATATAGGAAAAAAATACCACTATGAATGAAATACAAATATCGCAAAGTTCGGTTTCTTCTGCAGAAGTCATTGACATAAATGGTGATATTCGATTTGACAACGTCAGCTTTGCCTATCCAGTTCGGTCGGATGTGTTAGCCCTACGAAACCTCACATTGACGGCTCGTGCAGGTGAAACAACAGCTTTAGTTGGTTCAAGTGGCTCTGGTAGGTATTTCTCAAAAAAGCATTTCAGAGTTTGAAGGTCTACAGTTTGTTGATCGAATAGGCAAGAGCACATGTATTTCACTTCTACTTCGTTTTTACGAACCTTTATCGGGCTGCATTACAATTAATAATCGATCGATCACCGATTGCAATTGCAAACAACTCCGACAAAAGATTGGTGTTGTCAGTCAAGAAACTGTACGTCTGCCTCTTTGTTTTCTGTTTTTTGCAGTTGATATTGTTAGTGTAGGTTCTCTTTGCCACAAGCATCTATGAAAATATTCGCTTTGGTAAAGAAAATGCAACAAGAGCTGAAATTGAAGAAGCCGCACGTCAAGCCACTGCACACGATTTTATAATGCAATTACCGAATGTTTGCATCGAGTGATCTTCTTTAATGACATACATAACGTTTTCTGTTTTCCTAGAAATATGACACAGTCGTCGGTGAACGTGGTATTCAGTTGAGTGGTGGTGAACAGCAACGTGTGGTTTTGGCTCGCGCTCTTGTTAAACAGCCTGCCTTGCTTTTGTTGGACGAAGCAACAAGTGCTCTTGATAATATCAATGAAAAGATTGTCCAAGAAGCACTTGATCAAGCATGCAAAGGTTTGCACGAATCTTTTTGTTTCCATCATTCCATCTAAAGTTACTCATAGGTCGGACAACTATTGTGATCGCTCATCGTTTGTCAGCAGTTCAAAATGCACATCAAATTTATGTCTTGAATAATGGCTGTATCATCGAACAAGGTACACATGAAACACTGATGTCACAGGAAGGAAGTCGATATGGTGGGATGATGGAAGCTCAACAAAGAGAAAAAAGAGAAAATGATATGAAAGAAAAAATAAACATTGCACAAATCGACGACAATAATCAAAAACAAATATGTACGTACATACTTTCAAAAACAACGAATACTTTGAACCAGATCATTTGTTTCAATTAGCTGAACGTTCTCGACATCGTAGTCATAGCAAGGTTGACGACGAAAATAAAGTAAAGAACATGAATTTAAGTGTGTTAAGATGATTTTTGTATGCACAATTTTCTTTTAACAGTCGTCATCCGATATGAATCGTCGACATGTTTTCTTGCGACTTTTATTTATGAATAGCCCCGAATGGATCATTATTCTGATCGGTTGCATGGCCTGTTTCATAATTGGGGCAAGTCAATCTATTCATGCTATTCTACTCACGTTTACAGTATCTGTAAGTCACTTTCGCACAGAAAAAAGCTCGAGTTATCACTATCGGTTGTTCAAAGGCATTTGGAGCGTGTACATACGAAGAAATAAATGATCAAATTTTGAAATTTTCCCTTCTCATATTATTGATGGGCATTGTTCTTTTGGCTATACGTTTTATTCAAGTAGGAATATATTGCATAAAATGTTTTATATTTCCTGCATAAATAGTATACTGCGTTTGCTGTATCTGGCTCAAAATTGACTGAGCGTATCCGCATTAAAGCTTTTGCACACTATCTGCGCCAAGAAATGGCTTTCTTTGATCGTCTTGAAAATAGTTCTGGAGCTATTTGTAATCGTCTCTCATCCGATGCGTTGGCTGTTCAGCAGATGGTTGGCAGTTATCTGGGCATCGTTTTTGAATCATTCGCGACATTTGGAGTTGGTATTATTTTCGGATTGTGGTTCAATTGGCAGTTAGCATTAACAGTACTCTCTTATATTGTCTTTTTGTTCGTTCTTGCTTTCATGCAAATACATTGGCAAGCACGATTGAACAAACGCTGTGATGATGTTCTTGGATTAGCAAGTTCGGTAAGAGGAACATGGCGACTAAAGTATCATGTATACTGAAATATTGGTGCTGAATCTTCTTCTCTTAATAGTTAGCTGTAGAAGTCATTCACAATATGCGTACAGTGAAACAATTGGCAAGTGAGGCAGAATTTCTACGTCAATTCTCAGATTTAATTTTTGAACAGTTCAAGTTAGTTTTTCAATAGCTTTTTTCCTTAATCTCTATACAATATTTTTCCATAGTATTCATCAAAATGATACAATTATATCCCTCCTACTACAAAGTCTTTATTGGGGAACGAGACAATTCATCGCGTTGGTTCTCTTTTGGCAGGCTATCATCCTTGTTGAACACAAAGAATTGAACATGAACAAGTTGAATATGTACACAAATTAAAAGCTTTTAAGATCTATTTTATCTACATATTCTTCTAGAGTGTTTGTCTATTTTATTTTCGCCATAGAATCCCTACGATGCATCACGACTTTGTAAGTAATTTCGTCGGTCAACGCTGTTTCCTCAAGTGTTTTATTTAGGACGCGACAGCTGAGTGACTCATTGTCAGCAGCTCAAAGCTTTTTCAATTTGTTCGATCGAACATCAGCTATCGACAATAGTGCCATCAATGATCAACAATTGGTAAGTGATTCATTTCGTAAAAGTCTCGGTGTTAACATATCCCTTTTATCACGCTGTCAAAATATGTCGATAACAGAGTGATTTCCAAGGCACAATCGAATTTAATGAAGTCAAATTTTCATATCCATCTCGGCCGACATCTTGCATTCTGAATAAATTTCAATTAATCATCAAACCTGGTGAGTTCATCTCGTATATTTTAAGCTTAGTTTGTGACTAACTCTTTGTATTTGTTAATTAGGACAGCGTGTGGCTCTTGTAGGTATGTTGAAGTTATTTGTTGCACATTCAAAACGATTATATAATCTATATACAAAGGTGCATCTGGTTGTGGCAAATCAACAGTCATTCAGCTTTTAGAAAGATTCTACGATCCTATGCAGGGCCAAATCGTAAGTATCTTTCTTCTATGTTGTCAAAATACTCATGCAAACACTCGACTAACGAAATCTAGTGTCTCGATGGTGTTGACATTCGACAGCTGAATATTCAATGGCTTCGCTCGTCTCTTGGTCTTGTTAGTCAAGAGCCTATCTTGTTCAATATGACTATTGCTCAAAATATAGCCTATGGTAAAGAGAATACTTCGATTGAAGATATTATTGAAGCAGCTACTAAAGCCAACATTCATCATTTCATTCAGCAGTTACCTCAAGTGAGTGGAGAATAACACATGATATTTAATTGTGTCTTTGCACCGTGACAACAGGGCTATGAGACTAGAGTGGGTATGAAAGGTGATCTCTTGTCAGGTGGTGAGAAACAACGCATTGCTATTGCTCGAGCTCTTCTTCGTCGACCAAAAGTATTGCTGCTAGACGAAGCAACAAGTGCCATGGACTCGTACAATGAACAGGTTCCTTTTCTCACAATGCTCGTTAATAAAATAGGCATTTCGATATGTTTAGATCATGCAAGAAGCACTTGAAAAAGCTCAAACAGACGATACGACTCGAACTTCACTGATCATTGCTCATCGTCTGTCGACCATTCGTTCGTGTGATATGATCTGTGTTCTTGAGAAAGGATACCTGGTTGAAAGTGGTACTCACGCAGACTTAATGAAACGTCGTGGAGCATACTATCATATGATTATTCGCAGCAGTACTTCGTAAATTGTTGTGATCGTTATTTTCACGAATTTGTCCATCAATTGAAGTGAACTATTGCATATGAATAAGAAAATTATAGACACCGTTTTAATCATTTTATTAAAATAATGAGACGTTTCGTTATGAACTCATAACATCATCAGTCAGAAAATGAAATGACAGAACAAGATAAGACAGAATAAATATATAAACAATACAAAGAGAGAAAGGAACAAAGACACACATTAAAAGAAAACGTTTTCTTTTAATAAATTAATTAATTTTTATCGACCGCCCAAAATAATGTGTTATAGATCAGAATATATTTAGAATAAAGCTTTTTTGAGAATAGACCTGCTTGTCCTTCTTTTGACTATACCAATCCATGAGTAGGCTTTCTTTGATGTTTCTTTTTAAATCATTAGATTCTATAGCTAAGATGTCAGTATTCCAATTATTACGATGATTTTTGTTAAGACAATGTTCTGCAATTTTAGAGTAACCCATGCCGTTGAAAGCATTTTCATGTTCTTCTTTACGAACTTCAGCACTTCTTCCTGCCTGACCTATATAATATCCTTTACAATCATAACACGAGTAACCATAAACTATTCTTTTATTATCATTAGTTCCACGGAATGTTCTGCTAAATAATGTAGAAATTCTGTTTCCTGCTTTAAATCCAAGTATAATATGAATTCTAGGAGTTTGAATAATTTTCTTAATTTTCTTAGCTAATACTAAGGAACATTCACCATAGTAAGGAATAGAGATGAATATTTTTTGTGCATTCTGAATAAGTTTTTTCTTATCAATATTTAATTCAATACTACGAATAGTTTTCTTAATGACATTAATCGGATAACCATTAGTGATGAAAATGTTCTTATAATATTCTAATTCTTGTTTGAAAAGGTTATCAGATGAACATATTCTTTTAGCACGAGTACAAAGGCACTTAATTAGATTAAATTTATAGTTGCGAGGTTGATTACTAGCCCATCTAAGATATAAACCTGTATCTGTTGGTTTTCTGTAAACATATGTTATTAGCTCAGAATTGTTTCTTTCTACCATGACATCAAGAAATGGGTGTGGGTGTGCGGGTGTGGGTGGCTGCGCGTGGGGTGTGGGTGTTGGTGTGTGTGGCTGCGCGTGGGGTATGGGTGTGGGTGTGTGGGTGGGTGTTGGTGTGTGGGTGACTGCGCGTGGGGTGTGGGTATAATCATATGTTCACCCACACCCCATCCGCATCCATCCACACCCACACCCACACCCTATTTTTGAACCATATTGTAATATGAATGAAAAAGATAAATGTAATTTAACTCGAATGATGTTAATGCACAAATCATCTTCTTTTCGTTCATTGGTACTTCAACATTGTTATGATTATTTAGATATATCAAATTATACTTCAATATCTTCGAATCTTACATCACTTCATTCACGTATATTTACTACACTTTCAACTGCAACTCTTTATTTAATTTTATCAAATTTTTCGTGTTTGTCGTGGAATTCGATATTTAGGCTTAACAATACAATACAAATGTTCAGTTGAAAATATTAATGTCAAGTAAGTTTCCGAATAGTGAATGTTTTATATGATAAATCTCTCAAAGGATAATGGTTAAAAATGAAAATGAAAATGAAATGTTCGTTTTTTGTTTTAGTGTTCCAAATGTAACACTCTATTGTAATGAAAATGACCATCCAATATTGTCGCAATTGATATCTTTCAATTTAATAATATTTACTTTATGTGATATTTATTCAATTGCTTATATTTTACGTTGTATGCCTAATCTTAGTCGTTTTTATTTTACTCTTGCTTCACGAATGACAGCATTTTCATATTATCGTGAATTGTTTAATGGTTTTGTGTGGCAACAATTATTAAAACGTTATGTTCCATGTTTATCTAAATTTGAATTTCATATATCAATTTTGAAAACCTTTTCAAGCTTAAATTTGCACTATTATCAAGTCATTTAAATATTTTGTTAGAAAATATTCTAATTGGAATATGATTATTGATCGATGGAGAATTGTCGGTGAAACGTCAGGTAAACAAAAATTGATTTAACGAGTTTAAAATAATGAAGGAGGAGAATGAGATCTTACTGGAAAACTAAATTGTTTGATAAATTTTTATTGTAAAAGAGGAATTTAAGTCAGTTCTGATTATCTTAATAATAGATCAATGCAAAAAATTTCTATGACTTTATGAGAATTTAACTACGAAGATTGTTTATTTTCTTTTTTGACTTAGAAATCTTTACTTTAAGTTTAAACTAAATTTATGTAGTTGTAATATTCACATATCATAAGTAAATGATAAATAAACAAGTGAATATTTTGAAAAGAGTAGAATTTCGTTCATGTTTAAAAATATATTTCTTTTCTTTTTTTTCTTAGAAGAATTTATCTTGTTACGCACACTTAATTATTGCAAATATAAATCAACTGTTAATACCTTATATCCATGTATTAATTCTGAATCATATGAGACACGATCAACAACAACAATAAATGATCATCATCTTTTTTATTCAGATATAAGAGATTTAAAAATATACCTGACAAAGACAAAACCAACTGTTACTTGGTCTTCTCCTTTATATAAAAAAATCAATTATCTCATCGTACAAATGCCAATAATACGTTATTCATTGTCGTGGAATCAATTATTGAATACTGGTAAGAAGAATCTATCTTTGTTTTTATTTATTTAAACAGAATAACTCCTTTAATATTATCATATATAGATGAATTTGATAATAGAATTTTTTCATTTTGTTTTTCTTTTAGTTATCTTTCGTCAAACAACTGATGATGATGATAATGCACAATAAAATGTTACTTATCTTTCGTATTTTGTACATTTACCCAATATAACTGAATTAGAATTTGCATCAGAATTTCGTATATATCGATGGAAAAGTATTCAATTTATTCTACAGTAAGTATTCTTTATATTTCTAGAAGATATATCTATTGATTATTAGAGATAATATCATATTCTATCGAGTAATAATCATTAGTATTAAATCGAAGTATACTAATTAAATTTTTCTTTGTTTTAGAGCATGTCCAAATGTGAGTGGTATTAGAATTAGTACTCGATTATTGATGTTATCAAAATTAATCGATAATCCATCACTTATTCCAATATTCAAACAAATTAAAATGATTAATTTAAAAAACAGAAAAACTTTATTTTACTTCAAATTTTGCAACAAAACTTGTTCAACGTTTTTCATCACTAATTGATATTGAACTTCAAGTATTTTCATTCGATAATTGCGTTTCTGTTATTAATATATTTCTTAGTTATCTGGAAAATTTATTTTATGTTAAAATCAATTATTCCCAAGACACATTATTGGATGATCCTTTTTCATGTGATTATATTATTGAAAAACGTCGGCAAAGTTTTCCTGATAATATCATTGATGAAGAACAAGTCACTGTGAAAAATAATGGAGAAGTGATAGAAATTTGGTTAACGTGATTTTATGTACATGTAGATTTTTTGTTGTTGTTATTAATTAAAAATAAAATAATTATGAAATGCAAAGGTTTCGTTTAAGTAGTTTTTAATTGAACTGACAAAGACTTTCTCAGTGTCGGATGATTTGGAAAGTTAGTCAAAACTAAAGTCAATATTATATATATTTTAGTTTGTTTTTAAAGTAGAATTTTTGACGAAGAATTGTTAAACAGTGTAAGACACATTTCATTCATTTTTTGAAGTGACAAATACAAAAATACGAGAAAATTTTGTTTAGTGGACATGCAGTAATGTCAAACTTGAAACTAGAATTGAATTATTGAACAGCTGTTTCGAGTGTTCAATAATTGAATACTTGAATTCAAGTTTCAAGTTTGACCTATATGCTTGATCTTAGGATCTTACTGTTTTGCACTCCAAGTATAGGTACTAATATTTCAAACTTAACTGGAAAAGTAGTAATTATCCAATATTCTATAAAAATATAAAAAATGTGACGAAGAGTAGATTTGAACCACGTTTTCAGAATGCGTCACAATGGGCATTTAATGTCGCAAAATATGACACACGCAACGTATTTTTATTGGTGTCAATGTACGCTGTTTGTGATTATATTATTGAAAAGAAATTAAAACGAAAAAGGTATTGATTTATTTTTGGACAAATAATGTCTTCCGGATACATGCTGAAGCGTGAACACAAAAAGTTGTTTTTTTTTTTTTGTTTATGTCTAGATATTCCGTTCTCCAACACACCCACCTATCCACAATCACATCATCACTCCACTTCAACCATTGTTCTAAATATTTTGAAAAAAATAGACATACACTCGCGTTTTATTTATAGACTTTTCATCCCTATTTAATAGGTCTCGATCAGAACTATCGATTACTATACAATACAGAATCAATAAAAAACTGAAACAACTTGATTTTGAATTTAGAACGGATGATTATATGAGCGAATGGATGAAGTATTTTCCATGAAGCTACTCTATACCCTAATCTTTCAAAAGACATAAAACATGAATAAACCTCAGTTAGCTCAGCCACTTGGTATACGATACAGAATGCATTTAAAAATCTGCTTTTATTAGTTAAAGACTTTCGCTCCATAACGACCTCCTCCTTTTTGTGGACTTTGCAGTGTTTGAAGTATCGAGATCAGCCATCGGTCTATTCGATAAGGTGATTTTATTCATTGTAGCTGTAAGAATAGCTGATTATAAGCAATACCTTATCATTTTTGTCATGTCTGCATGACAGACAGCTTGGAACCCCTCGCAAACAGCACCTACACCGTGTTTCATATTTTAATCTCGTAGGGATTGTGCTAATGGTTTTTCTTCATATAAGAGATTCGTACTTCGCACTGCATTTCGTATTCGAGTTTCACGTAAATACTATCTAGTTTTCTACTGTTTTTCTATGTTTGACTTCAAGACTTTTCTTGCGAAAGTTTCTTCTAAAGCTCTGAAACATATATTAATGTTTGACATGAGTTAAATTTTTTGTGACCCGACTCGGACTCTAATATTGATCACTTTTCTCTTTCTCTTCAAAAAATCAATGTCTCAATCGTTTTTTGTTCCTTTCATTTGGCAATTGGAAACAAAGGATATGTCTGTGACCTCTTATTATTCTTGATATTTCGTCGAACTTCGTAGTTCTTACAACACGATTATGCGATAGAATTTTTGTTTTGCTTGTTTTTCTTTTTTTATTTATGTAATCTGCAACTTTTATGTCACCATTGAACAGATAGTGCACTCACTACGCGCCGTTGTTTTATGTGAGTAAAGGAGACTTAGTGAAGAAGAAAATATCATACGATACATTATTTGTTTTTCTGAGCTTTCTCACGCTCTTTCATAGAACTTTTAAATGAAAAAAAAATATTCAAGATGCCTTTTGCGCTTGCAAAATGTTCAGACTGCAGTTTCATCTCAAATCTGAAATATTTTTTCATAAATCGAACCGACTCGAGTCGGATACTAACATCTATTCAAGGGATAGAGAGATTTGTGAAATGTTTCAAACTTCAGCACATCATTGTTAAAAAAAATTGCATGATTTTTCTTTTATTTTCTTGATCATCGCAGTTAGATAATTCATTATATGTTAATATTTTGAGTTTCGTTCGAATAATAAAACTTTATTTGAAAAATAAATGCAACATTTTTGTAGAATGAAAAATTCTCTATCGAATGATTATACAATTACTTTGTGAAAGTATATCTAAGTGGTCGAAAAAAAGCCTATGACATTGTCTGATTTAATTTGCACCATCCGTTGGCGAAAAACAAATGTTGGAAGAACAAATATAGAGACATAAGGAGCACTTCTTATTTGTAGATGTCGGCGTTTCAAGGAAACACTTAACTCAATGCCATGTTAATCAGTACAATGCAGATGTATTATATTACTTCCGGTAATGCATTCATTGTTTTTATGTTGAAAAAAAATTCAATTGAGTACCATGCTGTTACTTAATGAAAAAAATTATCTAAATTAAATCCTTCTTACAATTGAAACTAATTAATTCATTTGTTAAGTTTTCTCAAATTTCTGCATTAAGATAAAATCATACGATGTTTTATTATCAAAAAAACCTATCTTTGTATATGAAGATCTTATTGTGTTAACTAGGTAAAAGGAAAAATGTTTACCGCAGTTTTTTATATCGCCCATGATTAGAGATGTGCGGAAACAATATATGTCTAGTGATAATAACAAAAACAAGCACATCAATGAAATTTTGTTATTTTCTCTTTGTTTGATAGAAAAGTTATTATTTGTTATCAATTTAGTTCTGATACTCAAACTCGATGATTTAAAAATACATGTAAGTTTACTAGTGTGTCCTCTCAACATTTAGAATGTATCTGTTGAAGAGTTTAGAAAAATTTAAATCACGTTATGTACATTCATTGAAAGAAAATATATTTCTTTCTTCATACAAACAAATGAACATAGTCTATCTCAATACAACATGACATAATCTCGTCTAAAACGTGTTTTGCTTTTGTCAAGGAATATAGTAATACCAAATTTTTCTGTTTTTTTTTCTAAAATTTCAGAAGTAATTTCTTTATTGAATATATCAAATCAATTCATTGAAATTAAAGATGAGATTAGTTCGCGTTTTTTTTTGAAACTGAATCGATCCCATCTTTGATTGTAATGAAGTACATAATTACATAATTTAAGTGTTCGAATGTTTGATTGCGTTTTTCAAGTATTCTGAAAGTATGAAAAAAGTCGAAAATTTTTATTTTGAAAACAAAATGATTGGCACACAGCTTATTCTTTCCTTTTATCTAATTACGTCTATAATCATTATAAAGTTCATATGTATTTTTATTCGTAGGTGATTATAAAACAAATTCCAAGAAAAAAAGGGATTCAAATTTTAAAAAAGAAAAAAGAAGAACAAAGGTTATATCATGCAGACGAAGAAAAAAAAAAGAAACGAATCGTATACAAGAGAAATAAAACAAAAAACAAACTCTACTTAATATTATACGTATTAATTGATCCTAGAATTCGTCGCCGTAAAAAGTATTTTCTTTTTTCAAATATAAAATAAAACAGGGATAAATGACATGCAAAAAAAAAAAAAAAAAGAAAGAAAGAAGAAATGAATAGAGAATTATGTTTGATTGACAGTAGAAAAAAAAATCCACAAAGCGACACAATAGTATAAAGTAGAGAAGAAAGTAAAAACACAAAACAAAAGAAGTAAACAAAACAATTTTGTGAGAACAATAAGATGAAAACTTTTGAGAGGAACTTTTTTAAATTTGCCGGCTGATATTTCTTTGATGACACTATCACATTAATGATTGAGTTAAGTATTTTATGTTCGAAGAAATTCATCTCGAAATCAATGGTTTCTTTTTTCTTTACTCATTCATTGATATTCTTCATAGTTTTGTTGAGAAGTTTTCATTTAGTAGAAATGGTGAAGAAATCAAAAGTCGATGTTCTTGTTAATAAGAATAAGGATTAGTATATTAATTTCTAAAATTAAGATAGTTTTCATTGGATTATGATTGAGATAAGCTAAAAGGTGTATTAAATGAATTCATTCGATTGTACTAATGAGTTCGATGATATCAGGTGATCAATAACTTATAACACGAAAGTCTTGGCACAATATTTTCGCTCATTTTTTGACCACTAAAAGACAACTGATTATAACCGGAATCAGAATTTTTTGATATTTCCAAATGACTTATATTTTATTGCTCAGTAAGTAATTTAAAAAAATCAGTAGTTAACTATGTGAGTGTCGGCTCTCTCAACAGTAGCATACACATCCACATCACTAATTATAGCTACAACTGCAAATTATTGGTTTACTGAACAAATATAATAATTACCGAACGCTATATTTTATACTGATAATTTGTAAATAATACTGAGCATTTAGTTTGTTCTCTTTCCAAATGTATGTTCAAATTTTTCTTCTGGTGCAATATTGAATAACTATGAGTAAATTCAATGATAAAGTTCAAAACTGTGTCAGTACAAAGCAAGATAGCAATGTTGGTACAGTCCTTAACATATGTCTTGAAACCACTTCAACTCAACATAATTGTAGAACACTAAATTCTGTGCAAAATGAGATATTATGATAAGCGAAATATCATAGTACTTAATACTTATGCATATCAGTTAGCCTATAGAATGACCGAAGTGAAAAATATCGAAAGACAAAAATAAATTTGACCGTGGGTGTAGGCGAAGAGAAGTCTAGATCCCACATCCACATCCTTTTATACCAAACATAAATCGAAATACAAAATTGACCAAAGAAAAAAGAATTCTGTAGAAGCACCATTTTGGGCCATTCGAAAGAATCTGATGATAGTTGTTCAATCTTACCTCGGAAGAATATTCTGAACACATATTCAAAAAGATCGAAAAATTCTGGTTCTAACTAATTGTTTCTGTCTCTAACCAGTTATCTTTTAGTGGCCGAAAAACGAATGAATGTTTTGTGTTAAAACTTTTGTGTCAGAGTATTTGTTTTAATTATGAAAATTTGAAAGATCATATATAGTAATTCTTAAAATCACGGTGAGATATTACTAGGCTCATTTATAAGAAAAATATCTATTTGTGCTTTTTTTTTTTACGAAATAATACTCTGAACAAATCTACAAAATTTTATTTAAAATTAAATTCAGAAATTTTATTATTATAAAATCTTGATCGAAAAATTGAACATTCGATGGATTCTAATCAAGACTGAACTTGAATTTCTTTCTGTATTTTTCTAATTGTTTATTCTTATTTTATATATTGAATTTTATTTTAAAAATTCTTACCTATTATAATACTACATAGTATATGCAATGGTAATTAATTCAATTGAACTATTATCTACACATTATATTTATAGATTGAGTATGATGATACTATTGAGTTTGATTTCGAAAATATTGAAGATTTACAGGGGATCGATATAATATATTGATAGATTATAGAAGCTAAATGATTTGAAATGTTAGAATTTGATTTGTATTTCATCATTATCTCATATGGCTTACTTTTATTTATTGTTCTCATATATTGATTTGTATTTCATCTTATGTTATTGTATTTTATTGATGAGATTTGAAGAAATTAGATTTGTAGAGAAGAAAATGAAGAGGAAGAGGGTTGTTAAGATGTAGACTGACGATATTGAGAACGAGTTGAAGAACTTGTTTGTTGAGAATAATTAGTCATAGTTTGATCATCATATGATGGGACAATGCCATGAGTTGGTCGACTACGTAATTTAGCACCAAAAATTTTGAATGGATTTGAATCATTACCATCATATGTTGTTGTTGATGGTTGAATATTTTCTTTAACAGTTGAAACTAAAAATGAAACTGGTTCAAATTTTGTTTTTTTTCCTTGAACCGCATAAGTTATTTCACTATGTTGTTCATGTTGAGATTGTTGTGGAGGTATTTGTATAACTTCTGTTTCTTCAGTAATTTGTGTTACAACTTGTGATGGACTTCCTTGATAAGTTAATGTTGATGGATTTGATTGGGAATAAACTCGATAAGATGCTGATGATTGTTTTGCTGTACCCATTTGTCGTTCATATTGAGCTGTTGAAGATACAGATGAACTATTTAATTGACGACGTGTTGGTGATATTCGTTCACTCGTTGCTAAAAGTAAATGTTTATTTATTATAATTTGACTATTAAAAAAAATTTATATTTAAGATTTACCTTTAATAATAAGACGTGCTGTTGAACGACATGTTCCGAATGAATTTTTAGCTGTACATGTATAATAACCTTGATCATCTAAAAATGTTTCTGGTATATAAAGTGTTGCTCGTCCATCACTATAATAATCAATACGAAATGCTGAATCAACGCTAATTATATCACCATCCTTATCCCATGTAATTTCTGCTAATGGTAAAGCTAAAATATTAAACAAATAAAAATAATAGAAAACAAGAAAATTTAATTTTAAAATATTTACCAGATACAACAATTTCAAAAAGTACAGATTCTCCTTCTCGAACTGTTTGATCATGTAAAGAAACAATAAAATATGGTCGATAACTTTGATTTGAATTAATATTTGTTCTTTCATTATAATTAACATTATCCGTTGTTTGTATTGTTTGTTTTGTTGTTGTTCTTAAATTACTAGTACCACTAGCTGAATATTGTTCTAATGTATTATTAGTTCCTGTTAAACTACCTGAAACAATAAATTCAACTGGTGCTAATTGACGTGGTTCAATTTCTAAAATAAATAAAAACAAAATTATAATTTCAAATATACATATACAGTAGTGAACAAATGTTTCCCTTTCCCCACCCGAATATCTTAGCTTTCATACATGCATTAAGTTTGGACTTTTGTGCGCATATACTCCACTAAGAATGTAGGTCAAAGATGTAAGGTCGGCCAGATAGCTTAAATGCAGTAGTAATTATGATGGATGGCGTCTATTTTTACTTTATACTTTTTAACCGAAAAAAATCTTGCTATTCAATTTTGCGTTGTATTTTATCAAATACATAATTAATTCTTGGAATTTGTAGTTGCAACTAAAACTCTGTGTATTTGCTCTTCGTCATTCACAAAATCGTGCAATTTGTTGTAAGATCGCTATTTCTGAATGTCTGTGAGCTCTCGGCGCCAAGACAATCATTATTGGCATGTTGTTTTCTTTTAGAAGAAGGTTCTTTTTTTAGGCTTCTACGTAATAATACTCAACTACGCAGGAAACTTTCTTAAAAGTTTGAGCTCGATTTATTAAAATATTACAAAGTTACGATCTAATAAGTGCTATTCATCATACTCCCCGTGGTGTTTTAACAAACAGAGCAAACTGATGGCTCAGATCTACATTCTTGGTGGATTATGTGCGCATAATTTTTCAAATCTCTACTAGTTATCGTAGCTGAGATATTGTAAGAGAAAAGAGACTTTTGTCTACTACTACAAATATATTGTTTTTGTTACCAGTAATCAGTGTTGAACTGTTTTCTGAAACTCCAACATTGCTACCAGTAGTCATAGTCGTTCGTTCTCTAGCTGTCATTTGTGAACTAAATTCTTTTCGTTGTTGCTCAGACATTGATGATTTTCGACGATTATCAATATCGTATGTGTATTCAGTTGGTCGATTTAAATCTGTATATAATGTTGATGAACTATCTCGTATTTCATAACCATATTGTTGTTCTTGACCACTTCCTGTCCCTAAAATATACATATCTTTAGTTTTTGTTCGTTTATCATCTAATTTAGCCACAATTGTATGTGAACTCGGTTGTCGATGTAAATGTAATTCTACAGGTGCTGCTTTAATATCATCATGTTGTAAAATAAGTTCACTACTCGATTTAACAGGATATTGTATAGGTGGCGGGATAACAACATGTGTCTGTGATGTATCAATTGTTGGACGAACATCAGCAAAAACAACAGATGTACTCTCTTGTATTTGTGGACGTGGAAGTATAAGTTCAACTTCAGATGGTTGAAGTTGTTTTGATACATTATCAAGTATAAGTGCTGATGAACTCTCTTCCATTGCTTGATATGGATTTCCAAGTACTTTTATTTGTTGTGTATCTAATGTTGCTTTAACATGAGCAAATACTGTTGTTGAACTTTCACCTATAATTGGTTGTTTCATACGTAATTCAACTGGTTGTGGTATAACATTTTGTACTGTGTCATCTAAATAAAATGTTGATGTCGATCTTTCCGGTTTAACTTCACTTGCACGTATATTTTTTGTTTCAAGTTTAGCTGCAACATCAGCTATCATTGTTGTTGTACTTGTTTCAATACGTTTTGGTTTAGGCATAACTAATTCAACTTCTTCATCTAAACGTTTTTTTTGTTCAAGAACAAATTTTGATGTTGATTTTTCTGTTGGTGGTGCATCAATTTTAGCACGTATACCAGCCATAGCTGGTGCGACTTGTGCAAGAACTGTACTTGTTGATGATTCAATACCAAAACGTGGTATAATTAATTCAAATGGTGTTGTTTGTTGTTCAGCATTTAATTCCATGGTTAATGCTGTACTTGATTCTTGAATTGGTGGTGGAATATAAGGACTTGCTTTTAATTGTCCTTGTATACCTAATTCAGGTCGAATATTAGCTATAAGAACACTTGAACTATCTTGTATATGTGGTTTACGTATACGAAGTTCTAAAGCTTCCTCTTGTTCTTGTTGCATGTGCATTGTTAATGATGAACTACTTTCTTCTGCTGTTTGAATTTGTTGTTGCATGTCTGTTGTTGGTCGAAATGATTTTATTTCTAAACCAGGTTGAATACTTGCAATTAGTTTTGTTGAACTATCACGTATAAGTGGTTTTTCGAAAACTAATTCCATTTCATCATATTGTTCTTGAAGACTTTGACTATTTAATTCCATATCTAATTTAACTGAACTATCTTGTGGTATAAGTATTGTTGTTGGTTTTATTGATGTTATTTGTGTTGGTGCTTGTATGTCAGCTATTAATTTTGATACACTTGGCATTACTTTTGGTTTATCAACAACAAGTTCAATTGGTTCAAATTTAGCTCGTGCTTGTTTAACATATGTTGTTGTATGTTCACCAGCGCTTGTCCAACCACTTTCCTCTTCTTCTTGATATTGATAACGTCGTCGACGAAGATTTTCTTCTTCACCAGCGGATGAAGCAAATACTTCATCATAATCACTTGAACTTAACGGACGACGTGAAAGTTTTTTTAAAACAGTTGTTGAATGTTCTTCAGTACGTTTTACTTGTGGTTTACGTACAATAAATTCGACTTCACTTTCAGTACCTCTTTCCATTTTTGTACTTGAACTCTCAACAACTGTTAATAAATGTTCACCAGGAATTTCACGAAGACGATCATCATAAACAACTTCTCTTGCATGAACTTGCTTCACTAATGTTGACATGTGTTCACCTTCGAGTGGGCCTATAACAGGTTGTTTCTTAGGAAATAAAACTTGCATTTCACCAAATGCTTCAACTGGTTTTTCATAATATTTTGTTTGATGTTCACCTAATTACAAAAAATATCAAAAAAAAAATCTTTGGTTTTTTTTCTATTTTGATTCTTACCAGGAATTGGTTTTGTTTTATCAATAGAATATACGTATGGTTTACCACGTTGTTCTTTAACAACAGTTGTACTATGTTCTGCTGATACTTGTGGTTTCGCAACTAATAATTGCATTGTATTGGCTTTAGCTTCAATAGATTCTTCAATAATTTTAGTTTCATGTTCACCTTCAATTGTTCGTTGTGTTGTATCAACTTCAATAATTGGTCCTTTACCTCGACTATGTTTAATAATTGTTGTTGTATGTTCTGGACGTTCAACTTGTTGTTTAGGTAATCTAACTTCAAGTTCTTCTTCAACACGAACAGAATCGCGAAAAAATTTTGTTTCATGTTCACTTTCCATTTTTTTTCCACTACCGGTTATTTCTAAAACACGTCTATGTGGTTGTGTTTCTGTTACAAGTGTTGTTGTATGTTCAGCTGTTTCTGTAACACTTTTTGGTATAATTAATTCAACACTATCAATTGCTCCTGATTGAATTGGTTTATCAAATAAACGTAATTCATGTTCACCTTTTAATGTTGTTTGAATATTATCAATAACAACACTTGATGGTGGTGCACGGGTTTGTTTAACAATTGTTGATGAATGATGACCTGGTGGTGGTGGAATAGGTGGTTTAGGAAATAATAATTCAACTGCTCTATTGTGTAAACCAGATGATATTGGTTCTGATATAATACGTAATTCATGTTCACCTTCAAGTGTATGTTCATGTGTTAATGCACTACTTATATCAAGTGTTTGATAACGACCACCTTTTTTTGATTCAACAACAAATGTTGTTGAATGTTCAGCTGGTAATGTTTCAACTGGTTTTGGTATTGTAAATTCAACTGCTCGTGTCTCGCCTGATGTTATAGGTTCTTTAATAATACGTAATTCATGTTCACCTTCAATTGTTGTTCGTTGATGTTGTTGTTGTATATTTGTTGTTATTTTACCTGTTGAACGTCGAACATCTTTAACAACTGTTGTTGAATGTTCACCTTGTGTTGTTAATATTTGTGGTTTTGGTACAAGTAATTCAACAGGCTGACGTTCTGTACGAACATATTTAATACTTGTTTCACCTGGTATTGAACTTGTTGATGAATAAATACGTATTGGTTTTAAACGTTCTTTACGTTTAAGACGATATTCCATTGTTGTTAAATCATCTTCACTTGTAGCAAAACCAGCTTCACTTGTTGTTGCTGATGGTGTTGTTGTATATAATTGTTTAGCTGTTGGTATTAAACGTTTATAAAGTAATTCTTCTGAAAATGAACGTTGTGCTGTTGTTAAACGTTGTTCACCGTCATGACGTGTTGAATATGATATTGTTGATTGGTGTTCTTGATGTGGACGAACAGCAAAATTATCAATAAATTGTTTTTCAAATTGATTTAAACGATTCATTGATGATGATGTTGTTGTTGCTGTTGTTGTTGGCATTCGATATGTTGATCGTTGAATGACTTCTTCTGCTGTTGTTGTTGTTGATGTTATGGGTCGTTGATGATAGACTTCTTCAATACTTTCATATTCTTCTTGTGTATCAACAGTTGTTTTTTTCTTTCGATTATCAAATGATTTTCTTTGTCGTTTAGTTTTGTCATATTCATTTGTTAAATCACGTAAACAACGTAAATATTCACGTTCTTCATCAAAATCAATTTTACGTTGTTGTTTAGCACTTGCTGATGATGAACGTCGTCGTTCTTCAATTTCATATTCATAACTTCGTGTCATTGTTGAAGATTTTGCACCTTGTTGACTACGTTCTTTTTCAAGGACATCATATGGAATAAAGACATCAATTGATTTTGGATATTGTCGTCGACGACATTCATCTTCACGTGTTAATGAATGTGTTCGTTCAAGTGAAGATTGTAATGGACGATAACGTTTATTTGTATTTGATGAAATAAATGATGATTGTTGTCGAGTTTCATATTCTTGTTCATATGAACGTGTATTTGTTGATGATGCTTGCTGTTGTTGTTGTTGCTGATGCACTTGTTGAGTAGTTTCAATATGTCGTTTTCGAGGTAATGGTGGTGAAGGTGACATTTCGACTAGTAAATCGGACAACATATTGCTATTATTTTCAGTACCTTCTGATGAAGATACGCAGAGACAAGTATAAAATTTATTAGTCTAGAGATATGTATAAATAGATATATATATAGAATATATATATATATACACTATACAGACGACGATAAGACAGTATTCAATGTCGTTTGAATGAAAAAAAAACACTTTCTTTGTTATAGATATAGACTAGACGATATACTTTGTAGGCGAATGTCTATGTTTTCTTCAGATTATCTTCGCCCTTTTTTTTCTCGACGACCACATACAAGAGAGTACACCATCAATGGTGCTAAAAACGAGCATTAAGCCATAGGCAAACCGCACATACATATATTCAGAAGGAAACAGGTTTAGTCTTATCTATACAATTACTGTAAGAAGAAGAAAAAAAACGAGAGAATATATAATATAACGGGGAAGACAACAGATGACAATCTAAGTTATTTTTATTCTGCCCACCTATGCTAATACCATCATCACCACTAATTATATGACGTATAACTGTTCTCACTTACGTAAGCGATATTAAGAAACAGAAAGACCTTCGATAGAATATTTCTACTATAAATACATACACATATATATAAAACAAGTCGATCATCACTTCTCACAAAGACAGGAATATAAATGAGTTATATCATATCATGCTATTAAAGGTGTCCTTCTTCTTCTTTTCTCTATCACTCACAAAAGAATGGTTTTCTCACTTTCTGTGATCTTTTTTTCTTCATTGTCTCTTCTATATTATCGTTGTTTTTCTTTCTAGAGTCAATCATTACTCCAAGACGGTGTATTCTGCACGCTTGTATTTACGACTAGTTTTTTTTATGCTTTATATATACATCGAGAGAAAGAGGCAAAGAGAGAAGGAAATAAATGGCTTGCAGATGTATATACATCGAGCGAATTCTTTCTGTTTCTCTTAGTTTTTTTCCATTAATTGTGTATATTTCTCTGCTCAAGTCTTACAGAAACAAGAATAGATCTTAACACGTACGAAGATGGTACAAAACAGGATAGCGAGAAAATGAGTTGCTGTCTTTCTGTTCGTTACTTAATCATATATAAAAGAAAGCAAAGAAAACTATGGCCTACATTATTCATATCAGGAGAAAGCTGTAGGAGGAGAAAGATATTTATTGACGATATCAAGACCAACATAGAACGAGGAACAAAATATATCGATATGTGGTGTTACTGTTCTTATGGTGCCTCCTTCTTCTTCTTTTTTTTTTTTTTATTCTCAACGGAATAATTTTAGACAAGAAACGAGAAAAATTAGATTATAACAGTAAAACACTTGTCAAGGAAAGCGATATATTATGCATTACTCAAATGTTGCTGTTTAGTGTTATCGATAATAGAACATGCTCAAAGTAGATACATAAGAAAAATTCTTTGATGCAATAAAAATACCCAGGTCGAAAAGTACGGGCCGGTTCCGGCAGGAAAACACCAGAAATAGCCGGAACATGGAAGCAGTATTCCGACCGAAAATTTTCGGAATTTTTTCCGATGATTTTTCGATCGGTTTCTGCAATATTCGGTGGCCGGAACGATCGACCTGGGTAGACGAAAAAGTATTAAAGTTCGCCGGATTAGATCCAGATCCAGATGAATCCATGTTTGAAAATTTCCTGTTTACCAGATCCCATGTTGCAGTCGAAAAATTTTCAACTCGACGAACCCTATGATGTACTCCTTGTTATCAACGATTACTATCTTTAGAGAATATTTTCTAAGTTATTGCATGCATTGGATTCAATAAAACACATTGATTGTATTGAATGGATACAAAAATCAAAATTCGATAGAAAAAGGAAAAACAGTTTCTTTTACCTGATGTTGCACTCGGTGGAACAAATAATTCAGCTGTACATGTCGCCTTTCCCCAAGCATTTTCTGCATTTAATGTATATCGTCCAGCATCTTCATAATGAACATCATATATTGTTAATGAATAAGTATCATTAAAATTTTGTTGTTGATAACGTTGATTATTTTGTATATTTGATATTGGTGATCCATTAAATAACCAATAAACCTGGAAAAAATAAGAAAAAAAAAAAGAAAATTTAAAAGACGAGAAAAGAGAATTGTTTGGTTTTTTTACATTTAATGGTTGTGTACCAATTAATCGTGCTTCAAATTTAATTGTTGAGTTAGCTATTGTTTGTCGATCAATAAATAATTGTAAAAATTCAGGTGGAAAGCCGTTTGGTTGTATATTTGTTTGTTCTGTATTCATTGAAATATGATTAATTGGAGGTAAAATGTTTAATAAACATTCACATTTCGCTTCACCTTCAATATTTATTGCTTTAACCATATAAGAACCAGCATCATCCATAAATAATTCTGGTATTTCAAGTGTATATATATCATCTTGATTACGAATCTATTTAACAGAAACAAAAAATAAATAACACTTTTTTTTTTTTCTATTCTTCTTTCTTTTCTGTCAAACATACTTTATGGTCATGTGTATTTCTTAATGGTTGATTATCTTTATACCAAATAATTTGTGGTTTAGGTTGTCCACTAATACGTACTTGAAAAATAATACGTTCACCTTCATGAACTGTTTTATTTTCTAATGATTGAAAAATAACAGGTGGTGAACGCATTGAATGTACACGTTCAGTGAATAATTGCGTATCTTTAGATAGTATTGTTACTTGGCAAATTGATTCAGCTTGTCCCATTGAATTAACAGCTGTTATTCGATACAATCCACTATCATTTTCTTTTTCACATTGATCTTTCACTAATGTGCACAATTGTCCATCAAATGTTAATGTAACATCACGTGTAGTTTTTAATGGAATATTATTACAAAACCAAAAAATCTTAAAAGAAAGAAAAATTAATTAAAAAAGAAAAACTATTGAAGATTTCTCCTTTTCTTTTTCTTTTACTTCTGGTTCAGGATGAGCATTTATTGCAGCATGTAATTTTAATTTTTGTCCTTCATGTATCGTTATATCACGAAGTGGTTGGACAAAAATTGGTTTACATGGTGTATCGGACATTTCCGATTCACTGGAAGAATAATAAAAATATATTAGAAAAGAAAGAATTTTTGTTTGTTTTGTTTTTATTAACTTACGGTGTTCGACAAAAATATCCTTCAACAGTCAATTGTGCAAATGAACGTGCTTCACCTAATGGATTACGAATGATAACTGTATACGAGCCTATATCTTCCGGAAAAGCTTCTTTGATTAATAAAGCTGTATAATCCACTTCTTTGACAACCTATCATTATAAAAAGAAACAAAAAATGATCTTTACTTGATGAAATAATTAAACAAACCTTAAAATCTCTTGAAATTCCAAGAGCAGCAAAATCAATTGGTTTTCCATCTTTTAACCATTCGACGTCACCTTGTGGATTAGCATCAAAACGACATGAAAGTTTAACAGGTTGTCCTTCACGAATTATATATGATGCTTTTAATGGTTCAGTAAAACGTGGCTCGTATTGTGATGACATCATAATGTCTAAAAAATAATAAAATTATATATAGATCTTTTTTATTTGTTTTTGTTTATTTCTTTCTTTAAAACAAAAAAAGTTTTTTTCTAGTTTGTGGTTTTTCTTTTCTCCGATATTTAGGAAAGAAAAAGACTAACACTTGAGAATTCCATTAATCTTACACACGAATAAGTCGCTTATCCGTCATAGACAAAAAGAAAGACAATACGACAGACTGCCACTGTTGTCTTTCTCGATCGTCCGGATTTGTATGCACAAAAAGAAAACGCGTAAGCGTTACCAATATCATCAACTTCCGGATAAAGGCGACGATTGCATATCTCCTACATTCTCCTTCTTTTTTTTTCTACTTCTTTTGCTTCCTTAAATATCATTGCGTATGTCTATCCTTCTTATTTACCATGTTGTTGTTGCTGTTGATGGGAATAAATACGAAGATCAGCTACTGATGTTGCTTCACCGCTAAGATTTTTTGCTTTACATGCATATTCTCCACAATCACTTAACTTCACGTGTTGAAGTATTAAACGATATAATTGATGTTTTGATGTTAAATCTGATAAAGAATGACCTTTACATATTTCAACTCCATCATGTTCCCATGTAACATTTGGAGTTGGTTCACCATAAACAATACATTCAAATACAATTGTTGAATCAATAAAAGTATCTTGTGAACGTAATGGTTCAATAAATGTTGGAGCATGATAATGTTGATATTTATTATCAACATTAATCAAAGATGTTGCAACTAGAATGTAATAATAAACAAAAAAGAAATGAAAAATATTCTTTATTCTAGTATATTTAAATTGAATTATATTTAGTAAAACATAATGTTATTAATATTTTACAAGAAAATTCAGCAAAAAAAATATTTAGATTTATGATATTTGTATTTTAGTTTAGTTTAAATGATATCTTGAATATTCTATATGAAGTTTTAGTGTATATATATATGTATATATTTCAATATGACAATTGATACATAAGTCTAAGACGTTGGCGAACACAATGTACTGTAATATTGCATATAATACAAAAAAAAGTAATGTTAAGGTCGAATATAACAGCAAAGATTTGTGTCATTCACTATTCGTCAATGTTAATATCTGTCTGATTCCACTGTCATATGATATAAGAAGACAAGCGTTAACTCTGTTTTTTTTTTATCTGTATTCTTCCTACATTCTTTGTGAAACATTTCTTTGAATGTTATTCTATCAAAAGTTATATTTAGATCCATAGAAGTGTTGTCTTAGAAAACATTTACAAATAGCTATTCAGTAGAATACAAAATAATCTGACGTGCATATTTATGCCTTGGCCGATAATTGAGATTCAACAGTGTAGCAATAATTTTCATTTCGATTAAGTAGTATGATAAATTATCTTATCGATAGATGATTACGTTGTTTTCATCAAGTTTAATAAACATTTTCCATCGATTTACGAACTTAAGCAAATGTATCTAGATAACAATACTTATATTAAAAAAAAAACAATGAAAAAAACAAAAAAGAAACAAGTTCTGAAATAATCGTTCTATATACGGAATGGCATATGAAAAACTAGAAGATAAAGAAATTTAATATCTCCTGTCTATTTCAAGCGATTGTAGCAATTCTTTTTCTCGGTGATAGAAGACTCGTTAAAAGGTTTTATTCATCAGGAAACTGTCAAAATAGATATTGTGTAAAACTAGTACCAGTGACCTTAACGAAGATATACACTATTGGCTAAAGCTATCTCATTTTGCGATCTCAGTTGTTCTTAAAGCTAGATATATGAAATTTTTAGCATTTATGAGATGTCAAAAAAGTCATTAAACACAGAAAAATATGAATATCATCACTGCATTTCGATTAAATAAGCTAATTGTTTTTTTTTTTGGTGAGGATAGAGAACAGCTTAAAACTTTTATTCGTGAATGAACAGTTCATTCATACTCATAAAAACAGTCAATTTTTGTCCACTATACAACTAAAGAGCTTTGAAGAAGGTTTATTTACTATCGATAGATATTTCTGCTATATAATTCTGTACAACAAACTAAACTATCTACTAACTTTAATCTTTGTCTCATTTTCTTTGTTTTCTTTTGAAACACAAAGCAAACAGACTGACATACAAATATATATATACATCAGTTATACTGTTTGACAAAATATATAAAAGAATGTCCTGTAATATCGATCTATGGCTATGAATTAAAAACGTTCGTGCGTTGTTTTTAGTTGTATAGTGAACAAAAGTTTGTTGGTTTTATGTGTATGAATACTGTTCATTCATGTATAAAAGCTTCGAACTGTTCACTACCCTCACAAAAAAATTGAGTTCATTTGATCGAAGTGCAGTGAAAATATTCAAATTTTTCTTTATTTAATGACTTTCTGAACAAGCTATATACTACTTTAGAAATGTAAACCATTGAGACCAACACGGTCTTAATCTTTTGAGTTGAAAAGGAGTTATGATGTAGGACAGATATTCTCACTAGAAGTTTTATAAGTTCAGAAGGAAAGAAACTTATGACTCGGTAAACCTATTATTATGTAGTCTTTTAATGCAGCAATTTACACTTAGAAATTTCATCCAGTTTCATGTAAACATTCTAAAGCTGTGAACATTTTACATAGTGATAGATTGGGAAAATCGTAAACTTGTTCCATTCTTGAATTATAGCAATTCTATTGAGAGAAGCTGTCATACATCATAATTCATCTTTAATTGAAACGATTGGAACCAGCAGGGGACTAGAAGTGCTCAACCCAATCTCTAAAAATGTTCGTTTTTTTCTAAAGAAGTTTCAGTGTTTTACTTATTTTGCTTACACCTCCACTAAAACTTCAGTTAATTTCAGCAAAACTAGGCCTTATAGTTACTAGAAAGACTTCAAAGTTTGAGTCAGAACAAACATATTCTTGTTAAAATATTTACACTTTAAAAAGCAGCTTGTGTTGGACTGTTTTTCCAAGGAAGAGCGTTTCCATGACAAGCTGATATCTCGATATGGATACAACTTTAGGACCTACTATGGCCGAACTTTCAGCTCAGAACTCGGTAATCGTGAATCTTAACGATTCTATGCTCATAAGGCGAAAGCACAATAAACATTCATAGTTCAACAAGCGAAGGCCGGCAAAACAAATATTTTTATCGTTCAATTATTTAAGGGTTATCTTATATTTCGAGCATAATCTTGAAATATATTTTTTTGTCAAACGATAAATTTAAAAGTCATCTCCGGACTACGAAATTCTTCCAAGATAAACTTTCAATAAGACAAGCAATAGACTTCAAATATTCTTTTTATTTACCTTTAACAATGAGATAAGCTGAACTTTCTACAGTTCCTACACTATTACTTGCTCTACATGTATAATAAGCTGAATCTTCTTTTTGTATATCAACAAGTGTTAAAGTAGCTAAGCCACGATCATATTGTATATCATGTGTTAATGATGAAATAACTGTTTGATCTTTAAGCCAAATAACATTAATCGGTTCATTTCCATCAATAATACATTCAAATGTAAATCTAAAATTATTTTTTGTATGAAAATAAACAAAAAAAAACAAATTTTAACTAAAGAAATTTGTTACCTTGTTCCTTCATTAATTGTTGTATCTTTCATTGGTTTAACAAAAACTGGAAGTTGTTGATTAATTGAAATACTTTCTTTTATATAGTCTTTTCGATGTTCAAAATTACGTTGAACTATTGATATATCTTGATGAACTTTAATAAATGCATTTATTAATTCAATATTTCGTGCTGTAACATGTTTTATTCGATGTTGACCATCATCAGGTCCTTAAAAAAATAATATTCGTTTCTTTTTAGAATTTATTATAAAAATAAACAAACCAAAAACATCAACTGCTAATGTACTAATATATTTCATTTTTTCTCGTTCATATTCTTTTCCTTGATCAATAGCTATTGAAACTTTATCAAGAAGTATTTTTGCATCATTTTCTGTTTGACAATGCATTATTTCTGTACCAATTTGAATTAATAATTGACTTGATTCTTGATGCCAATTTTCAATCTATAGAAGAAAAAAAATTACAAATAAAAAAAAAAAAAGAAGAATTAAATATTTAATTAAACCTCATCAACAAGTTTATAATAAGTAGTTATTTTATCAACATCTTGTCGATAATTTCCAATTGATATATAGATAGTTGATAATTTGTTTTCAACATCTTTTATTTCATGTTCAACTTGTTCATATTCCGGATGTTTTTGTTGAATCATTATATCTGCTGTTGTACGAAATCTTCGAACAGCTCGTTCACAACTCTAAATAAATATAAAAAAATAAAAATATATATTCGAACAAAATATTTTAAAACAAACATCATAAAGACGATTAATTTCATGAATTGTTTCAGTACGATTAAGTGCTTCTTTATATGTTTGAGGAATATTTCGTTTTCGTTTATCAATTTCTTGTTGTAATGAATCAATTTCATACACAATCTTAAAAATAGAATAGAAAAAAAAATATTAAATATTATTTCTTTTTTGTAATACAAACTTTGTATTTATCATCTATAAATTGACACCATTCAACACGCTGTTTTAATTTTGATCGATTTTCTTCATTTAATTGTTGCCACTGAGAATATTTTGATTCGATTTCATTTTGTTTTGTATAAATTTCATCAATAAATATAGTTACTCCACACTGAAATATAGATTTAAACTATTGTCTTTAAAAGAATATTTTTATTAATTGAAAGAAAAATTTTTTAAGCTGAACCGTATAATTAACATATTTCTGATAGAAAATGATACTTACGAGGGACGTTTCTCAACTGATTCCAATGAGACTAAGAAAATTCTAAAAGGATTCGTGCTCATGGCCTATTGATCAAGAGTTATGATCGATTTATTGAATTTTTGGCCGATCCGTTGATATTCACTGGGAAATCGAATTATAAGATTTCGTCTTGAAATTCTGCCCAAGAATAGGTCTAATGACTATTAAAATATCCTGAAAGTTTCAACAACAAAAAAAATGTTCTCTTCTCGAAATATTATATTGGCAAAAACTAGTCGTATGTCGCATGCTTATTACAAAAATCGAGTTCTCATGAATACTTAATATATCGAGAAGAGAATATTTGTTTTGACTAAAACTTTCAGAGTATCCTAATGATCATTAGATTTATTCTTGAGCAAAATTTCAGATCAAAATCTTGTAATTTGATTTTCCGGTGAATACCTACTGAGAGGCCAAAAATTCAGTAAATCAGTCAAAAATCTTGATCAATAGAAGCATGGACACAACTTATTTTAGGATTTTCTTAGTCTCATTGAAACCTACCTATAGCCAAAAGATCGAAACCAATTGGGGAACTTCTCTTGTTAGTAGATACGGTTGATTCGATATTTTTACATGATCGATTAAAAGATTGTTTCATTTTTATATTTAGTACTGTTTTAATAGAAGCAAAAACTCGAAAATAGAACGTGGAGAAGCACACCATTAGAATAAAAAATTATGCTGAGAAGTACTAACAGCAGTCATAGATACTCAAAATGAAGATACTTATTGAGGTGATAATTAGGTATAAGAGGAGTAATACTCGTTCAGTTCGATTTTTTTTATCAAAGCAAGGATAGATTTCGACAATAAAGATTCTTTTGCATAAAACTTAACTAAACGGTTTTGAGATTGACAAATCTAAATCTTGAATCAATTTGATTTTTTTATCAGAGAAGATCTAGTTTAAGAAACTAGATGAATACTATACAATATGAATAAATTGCAGAAAATATGCTTCTTTTGACCGAAAAAGTTAAATAAAGATTCAGATTTCTTGATCACAAAAATTTTTAATTAAGTTTCATAAAAAAAGAGATATCTTTATTTTCGAAGAATAGCTTTACTGTCATCGGCTAGCTATCGCCTCAATTTGATCTTAATATCCAATATCTATGAGGATCACTAATAATAAGAGAATATTTCCAATTGTTCCATTACTTTTAGCTTGAGACTATGATCATTCGATTCGTTATAATGGGTAGTAAAACACGTCCATTTTCATTTGGATTTCCGGTTGCTACTTTTTGAATTATGGGCACTTCACTCGATTTTCGCCGTATGAGCACAGAATTACTTAGGACCTGAATGATAGAATTTCGAACTGAAACTTTCTCCACACATACGCCTTATAGCCACTAGAAACGCTCCAAATTTTGAGCTAGGACAAATGTTTCTAAATCGAGATATGAGCTTGTCATAGAAACATGACTTTTTTTAAGCACATTCTAAAACAGACTTTTCTTTACAATGTAGATATCTTAGCAAAGATATATTCATTCTTGCGCAACCTTTAGGGTGCTCATAGTGACTATAAAGCCTATAATATCGACCATATTTCACTTCGAAATTCCATCATAGATATTTCTCCGTGATTCTACACTCATAGGGCGAAAATCAAGTAAAACTCTCATAATTCAACAAGAGAATACGGAAAAATCAAATCAAAACAGACTTCTTTACTAATCATTATGACTGTTTGAATGGCCACGGTGTGAAGTGAAAAGTAATGTGACAATTAGTAATGTTCCTTTATTAGCTGCAGTACTTAAAATTGCTGTGATTCAAAACCTACACTTTTCTTTCCTAATAATCTTCAATAAACAAAATAAATATTCGCAATCGTCAGACCTATTTCACTTCATATTTTCACTATGAGTATCGGACTAAGAAAAATTGGAAAAAAAAGGAGTTTGAATTTGTCATCGTTTTCTATGCATCATACATTTACATAGGCAAACAGTCAGGAAACAAAAATTTTGCTCTTTGATAGATCAGAGACGGACAATTTTTGAATTCTCACAGACTTTTCTTAGTGATATCAACACCCGATCAGTGAAAATATAAAAAAACATCGAATAATTAAAATATCTCTTCAAAAAATTCGATATTTCAAGTCAAAATATTTCTTTCTCATACAAATCAATCAAAAATTTCATCTTGTTTATCAGACTTTCAATAGTTTTTCAACCACACTCCAAAACTTTCACATATACGATGTCAAAAAGTGGGAGAGAGACAGATAAACTGCCTAACCCAATCTCTCTGATATCGAGACCTATGTTGACTATTATTAAAGAACAGGAAAGCAACAATTAGTTGTAATGTAAAATTGATCACATGTTTGACGGAAGCATGCTTGCTATTTCACTTCCTACAAATCTCAATTTGCATACGTGCAATTCAATAACACACAGTCCTGCATAAAGATGAAGTTGACATGTGAAAAATGAAGATTTACTTCATGGAATAGATTCTCATTTGATCTAGCTGGTAAATAATAATTGAGTATACGACATTTCAAATTTTGAGTTTATCAAAATGTTACGAAAAGATGAAAAATACATTCATTGTCGAGTAGCGAAAACTACAATAGACAAAAGCTTCAAAATAAGGATAAATTGTAGAAAAGTGTAAGTAATTTTTAAAGCAGTTAATCCTTACTCTTGTGTCACATTTCATGCAGAGTTCACTAAACACATTCGTATTTATACTCATGTCTACTGTTTTCTGTCCTTAAATAGACTGTTAGTTATTTTCTGAATCTCGGAGTTATTTCTCCATAAAATACTAAGGAAATATTGTTGCCGATTTTATTTTTCAGTATTGTGACTAGTGATAGACAGGTCTGTCCTGTGCACTTCGTATATCTCTTTGTTTTCTTGCTCAGTGAATACGTTTCAAAAGTGCGAAATCATGATTTCGATGTTTTTTCAACTCGAATAGAATAATGTGATAGTGCAACATGCGCTCCATACAGATTTGCATTACATTGCATAGGCGTATACTAGAGTGAAAGATAGCCTTGCCTATCTTTGGCTGTGACTACTTATTTATACTTTATTATCTATTCCATTGAATTAAAAACTATATTAAAAAAAAGAAAGTTTATTACAAAACCTGTGTAGCTTTATTTTCAGCTAATTGTGCATCTTGTCGACATTGTTCATAAGTTTGAATGATTTTTTCGCGTTCAGCTTCATATTGTGTTACTAAAACTTCTGTACTACGAATATCATTTGGTAATGATGATATGATTCGTTCATTATTAATAAATTGTGTTTCAATTTTTGATGTATTTTTATAATAATTTATCATTATATGTAGAAAACTACGTGTTTGATTAATATGTGATAAAAATTGTTGATGAACTTTAACAAGTTCATTAACAATTTGTTCTTTTTGTCCATTTGTTTCACCACGCATACCTAATTGTTCAGCTGTTCTTAAACGATCTTCAACTTCACGTGTTGTTTCCTTTATAGACAAAAAATAAAATAAACTAAATTGTTATAAAATTCTTTTCTTTATCTTTTTACTTGAACACGATTTGCAAAATCACTCAGTAAACGTTGATATTTTTCAACATTATCATTCGTTGATATTTGTGTTGGAACAATATTTAATTCAAATCGATGAACTTTATCAATTGTCTAAAGAATATTATTGTAGATAGAATAGAATAATAAGTGTTCATAAATTCTATCTTACTTGTCTTGCATTTTCAATAAATTGTTGCCATTGATTTTTAAAATCTTTTAGATTTGCTAATTTTCGAATCCATGAATCGAAACTTAAAGATATTTGTTCATATCTACGTGTTATTTGTTCACATTGATTAAATATTGTACGATAAGTATCATTTGATTGTAAACTAAGTTCATCAGATTCCTATATATGATAAAAATTCGATAATAAAAAATAAAATATATTTATTTAACATACTGTTTCTAAAGCATGACGAATATGTTTACTATTATCAATTATTTCATGATAATTAATTCGTAAATTTGACCAAGTTTCTTCAATATGTTTTACTGCTGATTCAGGTAATAGATCAATATTATCACGATAACGTATCACATCATCAATACTTGCTAAACCATTTGATAGCTTAAAAAAAAAACGTTTTATTTATAAATTTTAAAATATAGAAAAAATAAAATATACTTGTTCAACTTGATTTTGAAAAACAACATAAGATTGAGCAAGTGTATGACGTCGAATTATTTTATCAGATAAATTTTGCCATAGAATAAATAGATTATCAAATCGTGTTCGAGCTATTTGCCAATTACGATCATTATTTAATTGTAATTCGTGAACTAATGTTCCAAGACGATGAATATCTTCTTCACGACGCTAATAGAAATATAAAAGAAATTGCTAGTTTTTTTTTTTCCTTTTTTAATTGAATCGGATTCAACAAAAAAATAAAACACATTGTTTTTCATTTGTAAACAAAAATCTTGTCTCCATGTTTTCTTTTACTTAGTTGACGAATGTCATCAGTTCCTCAGATTATCATTTATATAGATATCATGTTTGTTCTTTTTAATAACTCTATTAATTTCCCTAAGATTAAAGCTTCTATAGCATGTCATTCATGATAAAAGACTATCTTAAAAACAAAACAAAACCAACTGATAAATTTTTACGATTATATAAACACAAACTCAAGATTACAGATTTTTTTTTTAGAAATACTTAAAAATTCTTAATGTATAAGACCTCTGATCAATTATTTTAATAATAAATATTATCATTCAGTCGTAAGAAGATCATTTTATATAATACAAATTACAACGATCTATTATTAGACATAAAAGAAAAACAATAACGATGTTTTACTACTAAAGCATAATTATACAAAACGGATGATGAAAGCTTGTTGATATATTACGCAAAAAGCACTAAGCATCAAACATATATGTTAACTTAATTATATGATCTAATCGTATGATTCACAAAACATAAATATAAACATAAAAGGTTTGTTTAATTGTAAACTTAATAAAGAAAAACCAAAAAAAAAAAAAAAAAAAAGGAAAATCTCAATTATATAACAAGTTCTATTCTTTTCTTAGAATATTCTTAAAGAATATTAATGAGGTTAAAATACTTGAACCAAGAAGACAATGTGGAATATTAATATACAATCAGTAGTGTCATTATCATTGACATTATATGTTTTGTCTTTCTATATATAGACCATGATAGATAGAGATATACACGTAAGCAACTGTTGATTTGTCGTTTATAATAGATTTTATTGAACAGATAATCTATTCTTACCTTGAGATCACGTTCAATAATTTGTTGATGAGATTCTAAAAAATCATTTGTTTGTTTTGTTACATCAATAGAATTATTTAAATCAATTAGATATCTATTTGAATTAAGAAAATGTTCAACTACATTAAATAACCATGATTGCATTATTGTACATTCATTATCAAATGTTTGATATAATGATGAACCTTGTTGATCTAATTTATCGTATTCATTTCGTAGTTTATTTCGTATATTTTCAATACGTTTTTCTAAATCACAAATACGTTCATAAAATATTTTTGAATTATAATTATTTGTTTGTATTTTTTCTAATAAAATATGTCCTTGACGAAGTGGAATTTCTGTCGATTGAATTAATTCATTATTAATATGATTATATTCACGTAGAAGATCTTCACTTGAAAGTAAATTATTTGATGATATTGTTAAAAGATGTTTATCAAGTGAATCAAGTATTGAAAATGTATTTATTGAATCACTATAAAATTGATGTGCTAATCTTAATAATCGACGACGAATATCAAGTTTAAGTTCATATTTTTCCCATAAAACTAAAAGTGTATGAGCATGTGCATGTAAACGATCAGCTCGTGTTAAGCCCGTATGTACCCATGTATCAACAGCACGCATACAACGTAGAACTCTATCATGTATAATCTAAGAAAAATAAAAGAAATTTACTTTAAAGAAAATTTTCTTTCAATTAAATTACTTGTGATTCAGTTTCAATTTCTTTATGAATAGTTTGTAATCGTTCAATATCATCTAATGTTTGTCCAAGATCAGTATTTTCTAAATAGGATTGACCTTGTTTTTCTAACCAGTCAAATATCTAAATAAAAAATATAAACAAAAGAAAATCTTATTCGATTTTATTCGTTTATGTTTATATACTTGATCAATATCATATTTTACTTCAGACATTTGTATATATTCATGTAATATTTTTCGATTTCTTTCCCATTCATCTTCAAATTGACGTCGTTCATCTTGATGTATACCAAGCAAATGTTCAATTTCATAACAAGCAGCAGTAGTTGAATGTTGATTAATTGATTCAATTAGTATACCTAAATTTTTAATATGTTCGAGTAATAATTGTCCTTCATTTAATGTATCTAATGATACGTCTAAAATTTCTTTTCGATATAAATCATGTTCATCAAATAATATATTTAACGATTTATTATCAAAATTTGCATGTTCTAACGAATTAAACCAAAAACGAGCATCTTGAACTCGATCATTAAACTAAAAAATTACAAAAATAAAGTAAAATTTTGCTTTTCTAAACAAAAAGAAAACAAACTCGAGCAGCTGTTGTATGATAACGTATAGCTTGATTTAATAAATTTCTTCGACCTTCAAGTTGTAAATTAAGTTCTTTCCATGCTTCACCTAAACTTCGTGCCATAGCTTCATAGACTTCATTATAAGATTTCTGTTGAATGACAAGATCATCTGCACGTGTCAACAGTTCTGTAATATGATCTTGTTTAGCCTAAATAGTGTTGATAATAAGTATAATAAAACAAAACAAAATTATCAAATTTTTTACTTTTAGTTTACTAATTAATTCTTCGTGAATAGTTTGGTATTGAATTGTATCACCAAGATTTAAGCCGATATCCATTAAATCAGGTTCCATTTGTTGTATACGAACTCGAACAATATCTGAACTCTATATTTTTTTTTTATTGAATTAAAAAAAAAAATTTTCTAATTATATGAAACAAACAAAAAAATAACATACTCGAAGAATAGCTAAAACAATTCTAGATTCACCAGCTTGTACAGCAATTGTACTAATTGTTGTTGTAGTTAGTGGATTACCACTAGAATTAAATATTCCATCTAGATCGGATACATTAACATTCACTTGTGATATAGATCCATCACTAGCCGATCTGATATTAGCCGAGGCCTTTGTTCGATGAGGGTGGTGGTGTTCTTCCTGTTCGGCCATCGGTTTATAAATTTATTTTAATTGTATTGAATATAAAACGTTCACCACCACCCTTAAACTAATGCTTATTGACCTTTGACAGTTGTTCTTTTGCAGATACGATAGATTCTATTGCTATTAATGATAGATGGAACGCGTAAAAGATTTTACCCTTTCTAATTGTGCTAGCCACAATCACCAACCATACAGACACAAGGCTTTCGTCAGCACTGTTCGATAGCGTTATCCTTCTTCTGTCGGGGTTATGTATCAGAAAAAAAGAAGAAGAAGAAGAAGAAGAAAAAAAAAAGAAAGAACAGCAGATCTATCTAAAAGATAGGTTACATCGTTGGCCGAAGGAGAAGAGAGAGAGAGAGATGGATAGACAACCGAATATCGATAAATGGAATAAACATCATACATTGAGTTGCGCGTATAGCCAACGTTTACATCTTACACAGCATCAGTAATAATAGGAACGATTCGCAAAATGCAAGAAGGTTACCCACTGTTTGTACGACCGATACATGTAATCTGTGATAGTCAATCGTTGTGTCTACATATGTACTTTTTTTTAGTCATTAGATCATCAATCAAAGAATATTTTTATTTGTAAAAAAAAAAAACCTTTCATCGTAACAAAAGTAAAATAATCATACATACGCACACACACACATATATATATATATATATTCATATATTGAAGTACAGGTAAAACACATAGACAATCAGGAGAAATATAGCATTTACTCAAAAATTAAAGAAGAAAATAAAAACAAACAAACAAGGACATTTTGTTCGATTAAATAAAAATGAATACACCGGTTAGAAGACTTGCGTGTGCGTGTTACTTTAAACAATCGAACTAAGATTGTTCAGATTGAATAAGTAAATGCGTTGTTTCAGCTGCTTCAAGGATCTATAATTACAAATAATATATATATATATATATTTGAATAAATATAATTTACTTGTCGAATAGTTATATTTGCATCTTGTTTAGCTTTATTTAATAAATCAGTTTGACCATTTAATAATGCAAGATTATATGAAAAATTATCAATTGCTTTTGTAAATTTTTTTCCACGTAAACCATTTGATTCAAGCAATTTTGGAATGTCTTTACTCATTTCGCATACTTCAGTTTGAACATTAGATAACTATAAATCAATAAAAATTCATTTAATAATAAAGCATTCTTTGACTTGTTTTTCTTACTTTCTTATGTATCACACTACCATTATCAATTAAAGCCCGACATCGATTAGTGACCTAATAATAAGTTTTATTTGATTTTCTTAAAAAAAAAAAACAACCAATCTTTTCTTTTTATATGTTACATACTTCTTCTAGAGCAACGACACTTTGACGAGACAATTCCGGCAATGTTGTAGAATATTCGAAAATAGGTACCTTGAGAAAAAAAAGGCGCAAATGTGAAAATCAGTTAATGTCACTTCTAAACAAGAACGCAAAATATTTCCTAATTATCTCTTCTTATATACTAATAAAAGAGAGTTCTGTTTCTTCTGTTTCAGTTACAATCATGAATATAGAGAATGATAGAAAGCATTGAGTATTTATCCATAATCAAGGTTTTTCTTTTATTCTTATCTTAGCTATTTTATCATAAAGAATTTCATATAAATATTTTGTTTAAAAATAGATTTCTTTTATAACTTACGCCCGACTGATTTCGAATGGTAACAGCACCGACAAGATTTGCTTTTTGTAATCGACTAGCAATTTTTCTTACACATTGTTTTACATTTGATATATCAGGTAAACCACACATTTCATTTAATTCACAAAGACTTTGTTCAACAGCATGTCGATATTCAAATGCAGTTTCTAATGGTTGAATCATTGACTATAGAGATTATCAAAAAATAAAAATAAAACATGAAATTTCCATATGATAAAATGTTTATTCTTTTAATTTACTTTAAATAGATCATCGATTTGTCGATGATTTACTGGTCGAAATGCAGCAACGCGTAATTTACGACGTAACAAAGAACGACGATAACGGGATAATGATCGACGAGGTTTCTATTTCAGTATGAAAGAGATAATAAATATTGTAAAAAAAAAAAAAAAACAATACATACAACAGCTAATGATTTGCTATTGACAACAATGTGCACAAATAAATAAGCATTAGCAATGATATCACCACCTATAGTATATAGATGAACATGTCGATAGCCTATTAAATAAAAATTTAGTTAGAAATTAGAAATAAATATTCAATTTAAATTTCTTTACCAGGTTGAATACAATCAAATGGTAATGTATATTGTCCGATAAAATCATAATCAAGTGATTCATCATCAAGTACAACAAATCTAACAAGTGCTAATTCTGGAAAAGCTATTTCAAATTCAAATGCTTCATTAAATTGTGGACTTTCCCCTAAAGAAAGAAACAAAATAAAATTTTTTTTTTTTCATAAAATTAATTTGTTCATTGCATCAAAAAATTCTTATCTTACAATTATGATAAACAGTTTTTGTTCGTACTTCATCACAATCTCTTGGTACACCAAATATTTGTACAACAACGTATGGATCAACAGAATTGGCTTTTAATTCTGCTTGTTCCGGCTTTGGAAGATGTAATGCACTAATCACCTTTATTTTTTTTGGTTTTAGAAAAAAAAAGAAAATTAATTTAAAATGAAAAATAACTTTCTTTTTTTCTTCATACTTTAATATGAAGTATTTGAGGTGTATTCGATGAATAAAGATTTGTTGAAAGTCGTCCACTGACAATTGATGATGAAGCTGCAGCAGCTGCAGCTGCATTATCATAACGTAAATATGTTGGTTTAAGTACATAACCACAACCACCATTACTTAAAAATCGACCAAAATAAACATCCATAAATTTTCCGGCTGTTTGATAATTCATTGCAACTAAATCAATAAAAGAAAAATATAGATAAATATATTTTTACTCAAAAACTTATTCAAAGTTCTATAGCGATTAGTTATTTTCTTCTATTTTTGTTTGTTGTTGTGTTCAAAAGTCAATTTAGATTTATATTGAGATTAAAAATATAAGTGTAAGCCTCAAGCAAAATGAGCAATAAGCAGTACAGCTAAAGCATCTATTCACCATATATATATCTCGAAAAAATTGATTGATATTTCTAAACATTTTTTCATTGTCTTTTCTTTGATTTTAATTCAATAAATATAAATTTGTTTTTTTTTTCTAAATATTAAACTTACCCATTTGACAACCAACATTCCAAAAATCTTGTGGATTTAAATTTGATGAATCAACACGCCATGTACCAGGTGATATACGTGATAGAAAACGTTTATTATAATTAACAAATTGTTCAGCATCACTATTGGCTAAACGTAAACCAGCATTTTCACTGAACGTACATACTTGTCCGGATTGTTCTAGAATTTTTTTTTATCAAATCGAAATTTTTTTTTTGTTTTTTCTTAAAGAATAAATTTCATTTACGTTCATTAAATGATGTATCAAAATCTTCGAATGGTGCTGAACGAAGTAAATCAACAAGATCAGAAAATGCACGAGATAATTGTCGATGTCTTTTACTATTGATATCCTATACAAATAAAATAAATTTTTTTTTTTTACTTTCGAATATTCGAATTTTTTTTACTAAACCTTTTTTGATCGTCTTCTATTATCTTCATAACAATCATCATCATCTGTTATTTCTCCATATTCTTTATTTATTTCATTTAAAACTAATATAGGTAATTTTTTACCCTAGAATATTGTTTTTTTTTTTAAGCGTAAAAAAAAGAAACAATTATTTTCATTTTACTTTAATAATAATTTTTCCTTGTAAATCATTTGGTGATGGTAATGATTGATATTCATTTGATAAGATATTTGTATCTATTGTTAAAGGATCAAGAAATATTTTTTCACCAAATATTTCAATTAAAAATTGAGCTACACGTTCTTGTTGACTAATACTACATTGTAATTCAATGCATAATATTAATGGATAACTACAAAAAAAAAAAAACAAATATAAATAAGAAATATTGTATTAACTAACGAGGATGTTTCAAATGCGTAATTATTAATAGCTTCTAGTGCTTCATTTAGTGGTATACGAGATGTTAATGTTCCATTATGAATTAATGGTTGACCATCAGGTCCATCAAAACAATGAAGTTCCAAACAGCGACAACCACGCATTAATGCATGAATAAATCCATCGACACTAGATGGACCTTTTAATTGATCGGCCAAAAGAAATCTATGAAAATAATAATATTTATATTCTTGAAAAAGTTTTCGAGTTCATTTTGCTTATGTATTTAAAAATGATTTATTATTTATTCACAAGGACACATCTAAAAAATGATTAAGTCTTTTCTAATTATGTAATATATGCAAATCGAATACTACTGTCACTCTACTTAGATCTGTCTAGACTAATAAATAATATAATTCACATTCAAGATTTATTTTAATATATTTTCATATTAACATGCTTTTTTTTTCACTACACAAACTAAACTAATCTAAAATATATTCATACTTCATATCAAATAATAATAATAATAAATGTATATTTTTCAATGTTAAATTTTAGCTGAAATTAAATTGAAAAAATTATTAAAAAAAATAAGTTTTACATTAAATTGAATTAGTTTCAACATAAAACTTGCAATACAAAGGAAAATTTTTCTCGAGTATATTTTCATTTATTTTTACTTATTTATAATTAATATAAATTTTCTCATAATTGACTTTGAATTATAAATTTACTCAAAGAAAAAATAATATATTAATTCATATTTACGTATTATGTGATGATGCAATAAAATAATGATTAAGTGGATGATTCATTTCTTGACATATATTTCGATTACTTGGATTAAATATATCACATTCAGGTGATAAAAGATAATTAGTAAAACCTTTAAAAAGAAAGATAAATATATTTCTTATAAAAAATAAACTTCAATTTTCTTTATAATCAACATACCATCAATACCTAAATGTCCTAAAAGTTTTGCTTCAGTTGATGGTTCAAATTCATGAATAATTTCTCCACATTTTTCACGCGTTATTTTCGACATCTAGTTTAAAATAGAATCAGAGAAAAACAAGCATAAGAATATTATTATTTACGCCTTGTTCAGCTTCAAGAAATAATGTTAGATCTTCAGTTGATAAAAAATCTTGATTACGAGAATATCTTTGATAGAAGAAAAGAAAAACAACAATTAATAATAAATAAATTGCATAAATAATTATTAAAATACCTGACAAGTAAATGATATATTTCTGGTCGAGTTGAAAGTTCTTTAAATATATTAACAAGTTCTTCAGTTGAAAAATATCCACGTGCATCTTCAGATTTAGTTGTTTGCATTTCCTTTAATTAAGATTTTTGTTTTTTGTTTATTTATCAAATACAAAAAGAAAAGAATATTTATATTTACTTGTAATCGAACTTTAGCTTTATCTTCGGAAATTCCATAATCAATTAATAATCGTATAGCTTCTTCTTCATCAATTGAATTCATTGTTGTTAGTGGTCGATCTTCATTTTGATTTATATGGTCGGATTCACCTGTTGGTAATGGTAAACCTACTGCAAATGCATCACGTAACCATCGATTACGCATCTGTTGACGATCTTCTAAATCTAAATTGAAAAATATACATAAGAATTTTCTGTTTGTTTGTTTATCATTCAATAAAAATATATTATTTCATGTACGTAATTTGATGCGTTAAATAGCAGAAAAATTTACAAGATGAATTCATTAAAATATTACACTGATATAACACATTCAAAGTTAACGACTCGAAGTAAACGGAAGGAAAAGATTTTCGAGTTTCCGGACAACAATGCTACTGTTAAGAAATTATGTAATTGCATAAAAATCTCATTATTCGATTATAGAATTATTCTAATGTCATTTCTACTGAATAGAAAAAGAAATATATATTCAATCGTATAGATCATTTTGATTAATTTGTATTATATAAAAAAAACATGTGTAAATATTTCTATGACAACAGAATGATCATTTTTAATTTATTGTTAATTACCTGCTGGTGACGATGGTTTACCTTGCTCAGTAATAAGACATGATAAACCAGTTACCCATATATTTGCTTCATCGGCACTACTTGCAACTAGATCTAATGAAACATATTGATTATGTTCATTTGTATAAATAATTGAAAAAAGTGATTCATTTTGAAATTGATGTGCACATTCACGAAGACGTTCTGTAGTTTTTCCTAATCGTATTTCTTTTATTGAATCAATAGTAACTAAAATAGAAAACGAAAGACAACATAATAAAAAATTAAAATTTTCTATATATTTTACTAGTAGCTTTCGATGGTTTTTTTGATGTTGGATACCAACTTATCGCTGTTAATGTATCATTAAGTTTATATAAACGACGAAATTGACGTGCATATGAACGAACTTTGAGAAAATCACTTCCTTCTTGCATATAACGAAGACAATCGCAAACTAAATAATATACATATACATATGTATAAAAAATGTTATTATTTTTATAAATAATTTGAATGAATATAAACGAAAATTATCATATTAACTGATAGATTTGATAATAGAAATACTTGAAAGATAGGTTTTTTTTTTTTTTTGTTTCTTGTCTTTGACTTACCATCAGCAACTTTTTTTTCAAATGGCATTGTACTAAATGAAACAACTTTTCGTTTTAATGGTTTATTTGCTTGATTTTCTTCAATAATATTTGTAATTATTACTGGATTTTCATCATTTATTAGGCCATCATTATCATTTTGTGCAGTTAATATTTGTTGATTATCATCAATTGTTGAAGAATGACTATTATTATTATTATCACTATTATTATTATTGTTATTAGTTTTAACAATAACATCATCATGAAAAAATGCTCGACGTCGATTTATTTGTTGGTGTTTTCGTAAAATATTTTCTGTACTAAGAGATGATGATCGACATGATACAGTTGATGTTGTGCTATTTGATGATGAACATAGATGGACAGTATTATTTTCATCAATATCTTCTTCTTTATTAAGTTCACCATTCATTGTCAATGAATATTTATTAGAATTGATGCCATTTTTATGAGTTAAATTATACGTAATAAGAGATTTTGGTAGTTGAACCTTAATCATCAGAGCCTATAGAAGGCTGAATTATTTCCATTTTAATGTCCATTCTAAAGAAAGAAAAAGAATTTTTCTATAATATTAAGGAAATAATATTAGCTGAATTCAAAGACACATACAGATAAATAAATAAATAAATATATATAGATAGATAGATAGATAGATATAGATATAGATATATGCTTGTCTATACTAGTCTACATGTTCATGATGTCGTTGTGTTACAACTACCGTATGCTAGTTGATACTCGTTATAGGGAGAAAGGAGAAAAACTCAAATAGAAATAGAGAACGAGATGTATTTCTTCTTTTTTTCTGGCACAGAGAAAAAGCGAACATAAAATAACGAAGGAAAGAAAAATATCTAAATCCCTGTGAGCGTCAAAATCTAATGAAATCGACAAGTAGAGAATGAATATCGTTGATGAAGACTTTTAATGATAAGACGATTACGTCCTCGACATTCAACGCACAAATCTGTCTTCTAATGAAATGGAGCCTTGCTTGTTGATTACTAGCCTCGAATTGTCATTGTATGTAACTGTGTGTGTGTATATGTGTGTGTGTGCACGCAGATAGGACAATAGCGAGGATGAGAAAATGTAATTTCCCTTCTCTTATTCGACGAGAATGACTTTGACAAGCAGCATGCACATGCCTGCACGCACATATACGCAGAGATTGGCGTCACTGCCTTGTTTTCATTCTACTTCGCAGTTTCTATTCATGGTCTATTTTTAAATATACAACAAGAAAGAAAGGAGACGGGGAGAGAGAGAGAGAGAGAGAGAGAAAAAAAGCGAATCTATAGAGTTTTTCAAAATACATCCGAGGAAAGAGATAACTATGATCGTAATAATAAATTTTCGTTTTATGTCTTTTTTTCTTTTAAAGACAAGAAAAAAACAAAGCACCGATAAATATAAGCAAAATTCAGGAAAAACAAATGAATAAATAATGTACGTGTATTTCTATTTTCTTTTGTAATTTTATTTTTTAATATGACAGTACAATAATGATTCTTGCTGATATGTTAATAAAAAATAAAAAAAAAACAATGATTTCATGCTGTTAGAGTAGAAATATAACTCGCATGGTTTCATTTTTGGTAAGAAAAAACATAGAGAAAAAATCACCACAAAAAAAAGAATCAAATGAACTAAATTATTATTACAGTATATTATATGATGGAATGTGTGTGGTTATGCATATATATACCCGCTGTTTTTTATAATGTTAATAATTATCATAGGAATTCAGATGTTTCTGGAATCATGATTATTCTTTTGTATGGTGTCGATATTATAATGCGAGGAGAAAAAAGCATCAGCTTTGCTGCGTTAGAAAATGATGCCAAGAACGAAGAATTATTGCAGTAAACATTAGAAAGAATAAGTAGGCAATCAAACATATATACACATAAATTTTTGTCGTTGCATCCTTTTTCTCTTCGACTGACTTAACACTTTCCTTCTTATTGGCAGTGTCACTGATAATGATAAACGAATGGCAAGAAGTTCTTTACTTGTCATTCTCATATCGGTGCATTTATTTCATACTTAGTCAGAAGTGTTAATTGTTCGCACCGTATTTACTCAAACGATTAAATAATCACGGTATGTTGATTTTGTCGTTTAGGGTCAAATGAATGACTTCGATCGTCATCATAAAATCAATCGATAATATATCATTGTGTACATCTCTTTTTTGTTTTACAGAGCACTTACACATATAAATATAAATATAAATATATTGTCTATAGAATCACGTTCATGAAATAAGAACAAAACAAACGTGACATTCAATACACAGAACTACACGCACGCAAAACACTGATCTTATTACCCTTGTCGGAACAATTTAGTATGCATGCACGCTGCATCATTCTTTTTATGTTCGAGTCTCGTGAGATGCAGGCAATCAGCTGCATGTGGTCGCTCAGCGGAAATCAACAACTGAATGAGAAAAGACAACTATTCTAAAAAGTTTTCAAAGAAAACTTCGACAACTTTACTTCATTGATGGTGATAATGATAATTAAACTTAATTCAAAAAAAAAAAAAAAATAATAATACCTAGATAAAAATGGATATCTTAAAGGATTTGTCAAGAGTTCTATAGAACAAAAAAAAAGACCGCTTCCCAATTAAGCGTTATATTTCTTTTCTTATATATATATATATAGTTATATGTTCAATGTTGTGCTGTTAAAAATTGACGTCATAGGTGATCAAGTAGAATCATAATATTATCATTCATTTTAAAGTTTCATTATGCTTTATTACGTTTAAAAATCATTTTTTTTTGTGCTTAGACTATCACACGTCCTGTGATCATGTGAAAAGCATATGTGAATTTCATTTTTTTTTAATTTTATTAGTTTTTTCTTTCATTAAACTCAACCTAATGTTAATTATTTGTTAATTTGAAGTTACATTGCATTTCTATATTAGGAACAAACTTGTAAAAAAAAGTGTCAAGAAATAAATAATCAATTCTATATAATGACAGAAATTTATAAATGTCGCTAAATCAAAATGAAAAATTTATAAATAGAAAAACTACTCTTTTTCTTTTAGCCAATACCAATAATGCTATTTATATCCTTACAGTACATTAATGCATTATGAATAATTACACTCAAATTGCATTACATGCGTAACATATTGAAATAAATAATTTATTTCTAAAACAATCAATTTTTATAATAAAAATGCAATCAATCCGAGTATATGAAGAAATTTTCATTGATCATATATAGAATTATAAGAATATGTTATATCATGAATTAACTATTAATTATTTAATATAGACTTCATTTAACGTATTTTATTATTAGAAACAATTATGTAGATATATTAATAATTTGTTAGGAAAATAATAAGTTCATACTCGACATGATTAAGATTAACGTGCATCTTTAAAGGTGTATTTAAAGAAGAAGAAGAAAGACATCAACAGTTTACATCATCTATTATTTTAATTGAAAAGATTACTTTGTCGCCTTGAAAGTGTCATTCACATAACAAACTTAACAAAAGAATCTATTTAAACTATTTTTTATGGTAAATTGTTATTTATAATTAGTTTACATTTTTAATTTTCACAAATACTTGAATAAGATCATTTTCGGATCTTAAAATAGTACTCATGACAATATCAGGCGTAAGTTTGTATGACTTTTGAAGTTCTCTAAATATTATTTCGGTCTAAGCCATCTTGTTCTCATAATTTAATAACATTACAGGATAGTTGCTATTGCTAGGTACTTATTTTCTATAATGATAATAATAGTATTCGAATAAATTTGATTTTAGCAAAAAAACAAAAAAAAAAACTTTTTCTTATCATATATAATTTAACTGAAAATTATGTTTTTCTTTTTTTGTTTCTTTGAATATACAACACGTAAAGCAATAAAATATCTTACGTGTTTTGCTGGCATATTTTTCACCAATTTGGTTATTAAATGCGAGCCAATCTACAAAATGGGGAATATATTGGTCATTTATCAAAGTTCATGATGACAACAACAACTACAACATGTATACTTATTTCTATTTGTTCTTTTTTTTTCCACTGACATTTATTTCGGAAAAAAAAAATGATTACACAAAATTACATTAAATGAAGATATCATATATATGACAAAAAAAAACAGATATCATAGTATAAAAAAAGACAACAAAATCTGGTTTGTTTTGTTTGTGTATAAATACACGTCAAATGAAAAAAGACTTCTATGAAAACAGAAAATGACAGATCACTGTTATCTCAGTGTACATAAAAATCAAAATACAAAGGATTAAATATATATATATACATATACATTAACTAATCATGATCATCAATAATATCATCTGTAAGAAAAATTTTTGGAGATATGACTTTGATACGACGAAAATCAAAGATTAATGTTGACACATAAATAAGAAGAGATATTGTTAAAATCCATGCCGATATAATAGTGCCTAAATGATATTTCCAACCCTAGAAATTTCCAGAAAAACAAAAGAAAGAAATTGTTTATATGTGCTTTTTTTTTTGGCATAATCTCAAATCTACATACAGGACTTGTTGGTGTCCAAAGTTTCTTTTCATTGTCATATTTCACAACAGTAATTGTTTGAAAAATGAAAACTAAAAACAGAAAAATGAACCAATTATTTTGTGCAGTGTTCTTTGACATATGAGTTGTGTTAATCAATTATTATGAGTTCAAAACAGCGAGTTCTTTTTCCATCAAGAATATGTCTATTATTAAAGTCTTAATAGGCTATAGTTTTCTTAAAAGAAAATTCATGTCTATTCCAGACTACATGATTAAGAGGGAGCATCAGGAAGTAATTACTCATTTCATAGTTTCTTTGACATTGTATTTTTCTTCCTGAAAAAAATTCTTTCTAATTTTGAAAAAAAAAAAAAAATTCAGGTTTGTTGTTTTGGTTTATTCTCACAAATTTCACTTGCAAATTATTATAAACGAGTATTAGTAATATCAAGTGAATAAGCCTGAATCATGTGATATGTACAGCATATTTTTTTTTACTAAGAACAGAAAAAGAGGCGTTATACATATAAAATATGACATACTTTAGTATATCATTAATGCGAACCAAAAAAACTTGATCTAGTTCATATGTCGATACACGCCTCGATAAATATACGAGGTAAACAGAAATAACAATAGGGTCATTTGTCTTTATAATTTACATGAAGACTTTGATTTATAAGAAGTATACAATGAATATTCTATTTTATTGTTCTAACAAGAAAATCTTTTCAACTGATCGATCGTTTTCTTACTAGATTATAGTTTATTGACCGTGTTGATTCCCAATATGACTATAAGAAATCTCCTGAGACATTTATATATCGATTTTCAAGATTAATCAACATTTTGCTAAAATTACTTTTGATCTATTCAGATTATAGAGTGTATATCAAGTTGTCTATAAGATAATAATCTATTCTGTCTTCTCGAAAAAAAAATGTGTTATAAGTAAAATAATATCATCTTGAAAATGATTACATTGATATGTATTAAAATGATTGCATTTTCTGCAAAAAAAAAAAACAAAAATTTGAAATTAAATAATTTATTATTTTCTAGGCTATTCAATATGCTCTATAATGTGAATAGATCGAAAAAGATATTTTAACAAAAAGTTTATTATTCAAGAAAACCTAAGGGAATTTCTCATGATTCTATTTAATATCAATATGGTTGATAAGCCAATTATATATTACCAAATATTTAAATATTATCACTTTAGGATCTTTATTTTCTGTTCTATTATTAATAATACAAAATTCTAAAAGTATTATCATTTATTAAAATTTATAACATATTCTAAATTAAACTTAAATTTTTTTTTTTTTACAGGTAAAAAACTATTCTTTTGTTTCATCTAGTATATAGTCATGTATGACACTCATTAACCTATTTTAAAGCAAATATGCACTAAAAACCAAAATATTCATTGTATATATTTCATTAATCATAACTATAAGGTCAAAAGATACATGATCTAATTGTAATTTATTCTTACATGCAACAAGTCCTAAAGTACATATAATTGTCAGAATAGTTCGAATGATTGGTAACGTTCGACGTGAATATAACAATGGTCGAATCCATGATGATAATAGCATTTCACAATAGAGTGCTCCAACACTAGCAGTAAATGTTATATAGGTTGCAAATAATCGAACAGGAAATACATTAGCATGCTAAAACAATAATAAGAATAAAAGAAAATATTTCAAAATCATATAAAATTCGATTACTAACTGGAAAATTTGAAATAATGCTCATACTAAATGCAGTTGTAATACCACAAAAAAAAAATAAAAAATTTGTTTGCGAATATTTTTTTCCACATGTTGGATTATTTCGAATAAGTTGAGATCTTAAAAATAAAAGACAAAAAATTCTTTATTTATTTTTTATCTTATTTATTAAATTATTATTTACAATTGACGATAACGTATATAAATCGTTATGAAAACTAATTTAAAAAAAAGACTTTTATTTAATTTTTCTTTTCAATTAAAAAATTACTTACGAACAAACGAAGCAAAATTAATAATTTGTGAATAAATGCATGATTCAGGTGAATCAGTAGATGATCGACTAAAATAACAAAAAAAAAACATCTATATAAACTACACGTTCGACTAATACAATGATAATTGAATTTTTAAAATTGTTTTTTTTTTTTTTATTAGATCACATCTGCTTAGTCTCGAATCCGGATTTGAGTCTGAAAATGTAAGACGTGACTAGCTCTAGTCGTCTGAGAACTATGTAGGATGCACTAATCATCGAATACAACAAACCGGAAAACAATATCTCATATGTTCCGAGCGATTGTCGAATTCTGATTAGAAAATTTTATTGAGATTATTAACGTGCAGTCTAATCGAATCCGAAAATTTTGAAGCCGATGGGTTTCTATTTGTTATATAAAAACATTATTCAAAATTCTTAAAAAAAAACATTCATACCTTAAAAATGGAAATTCAAATTTTGAATGATCTAGTTTTACTGCAACAATAAATCTAAATAAAATTATTTTTAGTTAAAAGACGAACAGAAAAAACAAACTACTTACGAAAGAAAATAAGCAAGTGGTACAAGTAAACAGACTGAAAGCGGAAATGTATAAAGACATCGTTCAATCATTTGATTTTCTTTTTAAGAACAAATCTAAAAGCAATAAAAATTAAAACTCTATCTGACAATTCAGTAAAAAAAGAAAAACAAAAACAATTGTCAAATCAAACCGGATAAAAACATAAAATATCACACATTATCATCACAAACATGCAAAAAACAACAACAATTTGTTGAATATATTCTTTTCCTTTTTGTTTTTCTTTCTATTGAGCAAATAAAAATCACTTTGTATATAATATACTGTTCAATCATACACATAATTGACAATACCATTCACCGGGTGGTGGTTCACGTAATGGTGGATTTAAACAATCCAAATGATAAGCTCTAAAAATAAAGTAAAAGAATTTTTAAATTAACTTATGGTTTTTCGTTTCTCTTTTCTTTTTTTTTTTCTTATTAAAATCCTTACCGATCACAATGATCACAAAAAAGTAAGTCGTCATCATGTTCAACTGTACCACATTGAATACATTTTTTACAATCAACACATTCCCATGAATATGTTTTTATTGTTTTTAAAATTTTATTATTTTCAAAACCGAGACAATTATATGCATGCATACTTTGTTGACATACTGAACAATGAATAAGTTCATCATTACATATATTTCCTCCACCACATATTGTACAAGTTATTAATGATAATGATTTTGTTTGAGATTGAAAAGAAGATATTGACTAAATAAATCATATTTATTAATTGACAAAAAAAAAAAAAAACCAAACATTTCCTAGTTGTTATTCATATTTTTATTGTCAATTTAATTTAATTTTTACTATTTATATGTCATCCTATGAGTGATAATAAATATATATGAAGTATGTCTGTTCTGATTATTTAAAAAAATTTAATTTATTATTTAGATATGTTTTAAGAAAATTTTTATGAACATTAAATCGACTAGTTTATTTGATTAAATTTAATTAAAAATGTAATTTTTATATTAATCTATAAATGAGTTTGTTAAACATGATATAGATCTTGGAGAAAATTGTGTATTTATCTCATTAAAGAAAAAAAACAATTTTTCTATTTGAGATTTAATTATTATTAATGATTCTTAAATAGCTATTGAAAAATTCTAAAAGATAATTTATTTCGTGCTTTTTTAAAACTTATTCTTTCTATTTTTATTTTTGTTTATATCATGTGACCTTTTATTTTGTATGGAAAGATCATTAATAGTTTTGAGAAACTAATCGTTCAATCATTTTAATAAAATAGCTGTGCCTTTATGATAATCTTATTTACGAAATATTTTTTAGTTTCCAACATGACAATCTTTATTTTATTAATCATTTCATAAATTATTATCTTGTTAAGGATCTCGATAGTTTGTAGATGTATAAGAGACTAAAGATTTGACAGATAATTGGACGGTAGTCTATCTGGCAAAACGTGACTGAGGAAAGTGACATTTTTAAACTTTGTAGATAGTTTTCCAAGAAAAACTCAACATTTTCTTAGACACGACATTAAAAGAAGGAAGGAACAAAGGTATTCCAGTCCCTCTCCATATCGAAGCTTATGTAACTTGTATAATTGAAACTAACTGATGTTAATTACGAATTATTTAAGAAACTAAGAATATTTTTACTTTTTTCATTCAAATAAAAAGTATATCTATGAAGATTTTAATGTACGGTCGTAAAGAAAAATAGAACTAGATAATCTCTTTCTATTTGGCATGAAATGTTTTTTACGAGTGAATTGCTTTCTTAATAAATAAATTCTAAATTAAAAAGGCCTGCTGAAGTTTAAACTTGTACTATGCTATGGGTAGTTCACCAGAGGACGATTGCCGCACCTAAATGAATTATTAGTCTCATAGACAAGACTGAAAACAAGTTTTTCTTTTATAATAATATGATATTAGAATTTATTGCCACATCTTAATATAACATGCTAGCCCGTCTATGTCGTATACCTATGAAATCTGTAATGTTTCTCTGATTAAATCCATAATCAGAAATCGTTCTTTCAAAGTGTATCCAAACAAAAAAGAAAACGATTGTCTACTATCATCTAATAATTATTTGAAATACTAATAATTACAAATAAATAAATATATACATATATATATATATATTAGTTTATTTGGTTAATACAAAATATCTGTTTTTGGTCATTAAAATATTCTTCATGTATAATCAAAAACAAATATGTGAAAACAATTTTGATGAATCAATTTAATAAAACATACAGATTCGTTCGCATACTTATTCTAAATACTCGTTACTACTATTTAGCTAAGTATTTCCATTAAATGAATTCATTAGATGACAAAAAAAAAAGAATAATTTTTTTTTTTTTGTTTCATATTTAAATACCTGGTGTTTATTCATTGTTTTCTTTGATATTTTTGAATCTTTTAAAATAAAATCTATATCATTTTTTTCTATTTTAATTTGTATATTATTTGAATCAACTGTAATCATATCATCGATATGTTTTATTTTTTTACTAGATGTATTTGGTTGCATCATCGTAATTGATGATATATTATTTGGTTGAATATCTTGTTTTTTTTCTGAAATTGCTTCTTGTTTAAGTAATGAAACTAATAATGATTCACTTTTAGAAAAATGCCGACGAGTTGTATATTCACTAAAAATAAATATTAAATTGAAAAGCTTCTTTTTTTTTTTTTTTTTTTTTTTCTTATATCTAAATTACTTTTGTTCAGATTCACTTTGACATTTAATTGCATGTGAATTCAATTGATTTTTTGTTTTAAATTTTTGTTGACAATTTTGACAATTGAAATTCATAATTATTCGTCGTTTAGTTATTTTATTTGATTGTATATATTCATTTGGTATTACAACTTGATCTTCATGAATATTTAGAATTGTTTCATTTTTAATTTCATTATTTAAATTTTCAATAGATTTTTGTTCACATTGATTAATTAAGTCATTATTATTATTATTATTATTATTATTATTATCATTTAAATCAATTTTAACATTTTTTTGTTCGATAGGTGTTGTGAATAGATATGGATTATGTCTTTTCTGACGACGATATGATCGTCGAGGATAAACATATACTTGATCTGGTCGTGTTATTCTCATACGATCAGATATTTTATGAAAAAGTGAAGAATTGATTTGTTGTATACCCGTTTGATTATCAATTGTACTTGATTGACGACGACGACGATCACGTAATATTGACTAAAAGAAAATCAAACTCATTGAATGGTCTTTTTTGATTGTCACAGAAAAAAAGAATCAGAAATTTTCTTTAGTTTTATATCCGTTTTATTACAGTTATAATAATTAGTACGATAAGAAGGACAAATTTGTCAGACATTTAATAAGAATAGGGATCATTTCAATACAATAATAATGGCATTCTGGACTTCGAAAGTCATTTGATAGAGTATTTGTAAAATAATTACTGCTAATTTGTAGACAGTAAAAGAACAGTTATTATGACAATCACTTAACACAGTAATAGTACCATTGATAACGTCATCATCTGTATTGTGTATATTTCATATCCCTCGAGGTCACATATGTTTTCTGTAATATATTTTGTTCTCTGTGAATTTCCATAGAGCAATTCTATTTGTTTGCGTTCTATTAGAATCAACGAATACATAATACAGGAAGTCAAAAATCTTATAGAAAATAAAGAAGTCCTTGAATCAAATCCAAACAATAGACTTCGAAACCACTTTAACCCTATGTAACCTAATATTTCCTTGTTCTTTTTTTATTTTTGTTAATGTAAATATCACTTAAATAAATTTTCTGAATGAAAATAAGAAAAAATAAAAGAAAACAATTTCAGTCTATTTTTATGTGTTACTATTAACGATTATATGTTAAATCATCTGAGATTTTTACTTGAAAGAATAAATATGCCCTATTGTGGATCAGAAAGCAGGCTTTATCAGCTTTAAAAACACGCTACGACTGACGAGTATCATTTTTTTTTCATCTTTCACTAGATCAAAACAAAAAATAGTATAAAACAAGACAATTACTTGATTATATTTTGACGTTAATAAAATCGATTCATCATAATTTCTTCCGAGAACTCGAATAATAGATGAAACTGGAATAATAATAGGAGATGTTGTTGATGATATCATAATTAAATCTGAAATACATAACATCAATTAGCAGTATATATGCATATAAAGCAAGCAAGCAAATTCGAAAAAAAAATTCAAAAATCGAACTAAACAATTTGTAATACATTGGACGGGATGTACATATATATATATATATATATATACATATAAAGATAGCTAGAGCACAAAAAAAAAACACGTGCATCAGTCATGATATTTATTCATTCGTTTCGTTTTTTTTCTTCAAGACGGGCGGCAAATGAAAATCGATCTGACCGAAAATATTCTTATTGACCACCAGTAGATGCTTTATTAGTCGTTACAATAACAGTGACAATAACGGCCACAATAACCAAGATTAATAAAACAATAGTTAATGTACAAAGAAATTTACGTCTATTACATTGCTGATACCATCTACCAGCCTAAATAAGAAAAAAAAAAACATATAAATCAATACTTTTTATTTGCTGTAAACAATATCAAAGAAAACAAATAACCTTGACGAATAATAAAGAAAAGCAAATGAATAATACAATTACCTTCTTCTTTGTTTATTTGTGATATATTCGTAGAAAAATATAAAAACATAATAAACACAAGCATATCACTCACTCGATCGACATGCAACAACAACAACAACAACAACAACGTCGAAACAAAGACTAATAATTACAACAACAACGAAAAAATTGACATACTGATATTGTAGATTCTTCACTAAAATAATCACTAAGTGTATAACGATTTCCTTGATATCTTCTAGAAGTATTTTCAATTGTTATTTCACTTGTATATTTATGCATATTTTCAACTTAAAGAAAAAATCAAGATTTCAATAAATAAAAGTTTTTAAAATTGAATATAAACCGAATTCTTTTGAATATGAAGTAGCTTGAGTTCGTAATTGATAAATATCAATTTTTTCAATTTCATCTCGAAGTAATTGAACAACTTGAATTTGACTAACAAAATATTGATATAATTATTTTAAAAAGATTATTAGTTTTTTTTTTTTCTTTAGTTTTACTTTAATAATTCAATATATCGATTTGTTTCATTTTCTTCAGCTTCATGATTTTCATATGATACTTCATCAGCATTTATTGTTGAATCTTCAAAACCCAAATTAACAACATTTGTACGATCTTAAAATTGAAGAAAATACTTATTTATTTAAAAAATAAAAATATAAGACAAAAAAAAAAATGTTTACCTCCAGTAGCTATTGGAAAATATACAAGTAGAATTGAGAATTTATGAAGTAAATTTTCATAATAATTTAAAGCAGCCAATGTAAAACATACACATTTTTCAAAACGATTCATTGCTAATTCTCTTTTTGCTCTAACAACAACAAACAAAACTACATAAATATCATACAATATTAATTTTCATGATTTGTTATCAAAAGTAATTATGCATATTTATGATTCTGTCTTGTTTGTTTTTTAATGTCTATTTGTTGAATTAACTTACGAAGTTGTTGTTGCTGCTGCTGCTTTTCGTACAAGTTCTCGTTGATGATAAAAACTACGATTAATACGGTCTTTAAGTTTTTGAATTTTATTTCGTAGCTTAGTTGTATCACATGATGTACCAATATAATAAATATATTGTCTAAATTTTCCTACATCTTTCATACAATCATGTAATGCCTAAAAATAATGGAAACCAACCAAAATAAATGTATATCATCTAGTTTTATATATAAGATAATTCTACTTTAAAAATTTCTCCATCATCAATTACAACATTTGTGGCTGTTGTGATTCCTGCTGAAGGTGGTCTTGATGTTGGAATTACATCAATTGGCCTCATCGACACAACTGCTGAATCGACAACACCGCCCGATGCGGGCATTGTTTTCTTTTTCGAAATGTCAAATCCTTTATTCTTTCTTTTTTTCTTCTTTTTTTTCTTATCTATTCAGAAACTAAAGACTTCCATATATCAAGAAAAAAAAGAGAAGAGAAAAAATTATACAGAACGGATAAATATTCTGTCGCTACATTCTAAATTACATATGACAGTGAATGTAGTGCTTGTATTGATTAACTTTTATTTTATTAAAATTTAATTAATATCTTCATCGAAAATCATTTTTGTTTAAAGTAAAAATTTCAAACTACAATTTTTATTTTATCTATAGATGACGTTATATGACGATAAGAATATGTTAAACATTTCATTAAATGAACACTTCACTCTCTTTCATCTTCATTTGACATGACACGCACTCGTATATTTGATTATATTGATTACAACATTACTGAAAAGAAAACTGAGATATTATCCAGAATTTACAGTAAAAGAAAAAAAAAATAAGCCTACCTACGCAAGTTATATTTATTAAGATTATTTCCGTGAATAATTTTAATTTATTTAAATTTTTTTTCTTTTACATTATTTAATTAATTCAATAGGTTATTTCAGTTAAAAAAATTACGATTAAAAAGAAAAACAAAGCAAAAACCACGAATAGTGCTTATTATTTCATTAAAAACAATTATAACAAATAAATTTTATCAGTGAATTAGATGGATATATCTGAGGCAAAAGAAAAGAAAAAGCTAGGAAATATTTATGAATGTGTTTGAGTCATAATCAATTCATTATTTTTATTATAATTTGTACTCGTTGTTGTATTAAATCTTGAACGAGTGGAATGTATTGTTGTAGTTATTTGGGATTGTTTACGTTGTTCTAAAAGTGTTGATTCAAGTGTTGCAAAACGTCGAAATGCTTCATTGATTAATTTTAATGATTCTAATCGAGTTGAATTTGATAATGGTTGATAAAAATCATTTCCTTTTATTAATTGTGAATCAATGGAAATTGAACTAGTTCGATTCAAATTTGGTGTTGTGGATAATATTGGAGGTTTAGAAGTGGAAAGATTAATTTTTTGATCATGCATAAGATTAACATTTAATGAATCTAAAAATTAAAATTATTCTAGTTTATCAGACTAATAATAGAATTCAAAGAGAATTTATTAATTTAGTTTTTATAATAAACATGTAATAATAACTTTCAAACTATTAATAAAGAATTTCTTATTCCTATTTTATGTTCAAATAATACTGAACAAATAAAAACAATAATATTTGACAAATATATTCATGAGATAATAGACACTGTTTTCATTGGAAACCTTTGTTTTTTTTTTTTCATATTAAGATAATGTTAGAAAATTATTGGTGCTAATAACTAATACTAAAAGTGTGCACGATTAGAGATTTAATCTAGCGTATTGACTGGTGGGAAGGTATTTCCTGAAAGATTAACTTTACTCTTCCGCTACTTGCTTTTTACATATTCATGAATAAAACTATTTTTTTTTGTCATGTTATCAAAACTATTAACTATTTTATAAATGACTCATTTCCTTTTTTTGGTTCTCTTCGAATAAGAAAGTTTGCAAATTTATCTTAATTTACCTTGTCGAATATTTGAATCACGTGTTATTGTGCTATTTGTAGCTGCTGCTTCCGATAAAATACTTTTCATTCGATTACTATTAACAATTGGTGTTTCACTAGAAGTAGTCGCCTTTTCTTTATTTGTTTTATGTAACACATCAAGTTCTTCACGTAAATCTCGAGTTTCATCACGTAGTCGTTGAACAGTTTCGGTTAACTATAAAACAAACAGCAACAAAAAAAAAAAGTTCGAAATCTATGTAATAAAAATGTTTTTGTATTTTTAATTTTTTTTTGTTTTTGTAAAACCTGTTGTTGTTCATCAAGTTCATTTTCTAATAAAGCATTTTGTTCTAATGCTCGATTAAGTTTTGTTTCAAATGTTGATAAACTATCAAGTAATGTTCTTTTACCTATGATGAAATAAATTTCATCAATGAAAACAAAAAAAAACAAAAAAAAGCAATATTTTATTATACTTCGTTCAAGATCATCATTTGTTTGTTCTAATTCTCTTATATAATGTGTTAATTTTTCATTTAAATTTTTACATGAATTTAATTCTTCTTCCATTTCATCATAACGTTTATCAAATTGTTTTATAGTTTGTTCACTACGTTCACGATATTGTTCATTTTGTGTACGTTCAAGAAATAAATCTTGTTGTAAACGATGTGTTTGATTATCTAATTGTTTTAATTGTACTTCTAATTCTTGTTCATAATTTAATGATGATTGTTGATATTCATCAAATTCATTTTCCAAACGTTCAAAACGTGCACGATATTCAATATAACGTTCATATGCATCTTCAAATGTTGTTGGTTCGTTATCGTCTGACATTTGGATATAAATTAAATCTTAAACATTATATTTGAATGACAAAAAAAAAATACAACGCAATATATATATATGACTATTTTCTTTTGTTATTGCTGAGTAGAGAAATAGACAAGTAGAATTATAAGTTATACAAGAAGATAATATCTCTAATGATATAACAATATGTCAAATTACAAAATGAAAAAGAAAAAAATGAAATCACTTGAAAGGCATAATAGATAGAGATTGAGAAAATGCAAGAATTAGAGGAAAAAAAAAACTGAAAGAAAAAGTTTTGATAATGTTAATGAGAACGATCAGGTGTCGGAGTTATTGGTGGTTCAATTCGAAAACAGTGTATATCTAAAGCATCACATAATTCTTGACATACTTTTATATTGTATCGAAGTAAATCATATAAATTGTAAATCTAAATACAAAACAAAAGTGTAACGAAATAATTTGATGAATTTTTCAATATGATTTCAATTGATATCGTCAATATTTTTAATTAATTAGATCAAAAAAAAAAAAGAATATTGTGTAATTTTATAGAATGGAATAGTAATCAGTAAACGATATTAAGAATTGGAATTCTTAGACATACAAAGAATTCATAAATATTTTACTTTGCATCTAGATAAATATACGTACGACTAAGTTTTCTGATGAGAGAAGTCCTGCAAATGATAAGTTACTATTGAGTCGAGATTATCTAGATCAAAATGAGATATAAATATGTTGAAAAGAGTTCGCGCTATGAGCTTATTG